ATTATTTTAATCCGATTAATTTCTTATTTTCATTTTAAATCATATATTCTTTTTATATAAAAATTATTATTTTTTTCGAAACAGACTGTCGAACTTTGTATAATGATACTTTGTTAGAAAAAAAGATAGTTTATCCAAAACCAATGATATATTTTTCATAAATCTAAATAATTCTAAATTTATTTAAATGATATAATATAATTTCTTTCATAATATAATTTATAAATAATATAAAATATAAAATAATATAAAATTATTTATATTATTATATACTATTATAATAATATAAAATTATTTATATTATTATATACTATTATATCATAATATAAAAATTTAACATTTAAAAAAAGTGACAATTGAGGCAATAATGAATCAGTTTTAGCATTGGATAACACTTCAAGGAAGTCAATTGCAATGTTGAAAAATTCTCTCAGAGAAATAGGTAAATACGACATAAATTCTTGACTACAATTATAAAATACGCGTGTGAATGTGACAACACGTGGCAGTTTCGTTATAATACGCGACCTGTGAAACATGATAATTTTGTACAAAAGTACATACACAGAACGCCAGTTAAATAAATAAAAATATAATACGAAAAGCGTCAGTGAATATGCAATTACATAATGTATATTACGCTCCTGCTCAAAAATCTAGGGCATGTTAGTATTTAAAAAAAGATAATAACGTTCTTGATTAGATAAATACTTTAATTATATTACTATTCCTTTTTTTTTTCATATGTTAAGCAACCAAAAAAGTTTTATCGTTACTTTTAGGACAGGAAAAATATCGTTTCATTTCTAAAAATAGTTATTTTTACGTTTATAACTACTTTTTTAGAACAAAGCCTACACAATCATAATGTATGTACATACTTATCTATTTTGTAAGATAGTCAAGAATATTCTACGACTGTGAAAGAGAAAAAGAAGATTTATCAAAATAAATATGACTGTTTCTGGCAGGAAAGATTATATTTCATTTTTATATTTCTGCATTATTGCAACGAATTAAGTTTAAAAATGAAAATTACAATTGTAATAGTGTTATTTCTCATTGTCAGAAAAATGTACGAGAAGAACAAAGGTTGCTCCAAAATTTTGAGCATAAGTGTATATTAAAATGTTTTACATAACACACATAATAAGTAAATGTATAATATTTCTCCGTAGTGAATGTTCGAATTTTTTCATGTGTATAGCATGATCTTCCAGCAGGTTTTATCAATATACGAACGATATTTGAAATTTCTCTTTATCGATGAACGACGAAAGTAATCAGACGAACAATTATTCATTTTCCATTGCTTCAAATCGCGACGAATGTACAGAGTTTGAAACTCACTTAGCTCACGAAATATATCAAAGACATCTAAAATCCTTTGAACGTGAAATTGAAGTACATCAATCCTGGCAAGAGGCTCGTCAAACGTATCCATTGGATGTAATTAAACTGTATCAGCTGAGCACACGGTAATCATTGTACCGAGTGGGTCGCCTATTTTATAAAGGGTAAATACGTTCAACGAAATGAGCCTCGACTAAAGCCACGATTCTTGATTGTTTTTTCATGCTACATCTTCGTTCATTCAACAAAAAAAGCAAGAGATTTTCTGTCTTTTTTTTAGTAGTATTCTTGAGCAGGGAACTTTGTATTAACATCCTTTGAGTGTTTAATGCATTCTAAAATATTGTACAGATAATCCGAGATAATTAATTTATTTATTAGAAGACAACGAGAATAACATATTAGAATATATTGAATAATCATATCAGAAGATATATCTTTCACAAAAAGTACATTCTTAATTTGTTGCGTTTCTCATTTGACATTAAACTTCTAGACGTTTGATAATTTTTTAATTTGATGAGCACTCAAAGGATTAAAGAAGAAAAATTCGAAGTATTTATCATTACATAAAATAAAAATAATAGATTTCGTTTGTAAAGAAATCAATTTCTTAAAGAAAACTATATTTATAATTACTCTAGATTATAATTCTTGGAACTATAATTCTGTTTATGTATCTGTAACACTGTTAGACAATCTAATCCGTATGCACAATCTGATGTTATATAAAAATATTTAAATACACGGAATAAATTTACATTATAAACTCGTTGAATCTTAAAGTATTAAAAGGTACATTCGTCATTGAAATAAACACATCTTGAAGCAAAAAAAAAAAAAAAAAAAAAAACTGTTATAATGATCCGAGAAAATAAAATCATAAATGAAATATAAGATTAAAAGTTTTAGATGTCCAATATATAAATGTTAATATTACTATAAAGCTCTAGCATTTTAAGATAATTCATCGCTTCGTCATGATTCTCTTTTAACATGGCACGTGCTGAAGATAATATAACATAATACTGCAAAGTATGATGTTGCATGCTCTTCAAGAGAGTTATTCAAATTAGATACAAGCGGAAGAAAATTTCACTAGAGCAAAGTCCTTAGAATAAATCAGTGTTTAATAAGCAAAATTTGAAAAAAAAAGAATATATATCTATGTTATATATTTCTTTATTTATGATTTATCAATAAATATCTCTGAATCGAATATCAAAATATATTATCTCATTTATTTTAAATAAACTACTGAGCAAATAATTATTCAGACAAAATGTTTATTTTATTTGGTCTGGTTAAAACTTTTTATTAATTATATATTATTTGATTTGCTGCTTTGTTGCTACTCTATATTCCGTTAAAAATTTACACCAAACGATCTTTTTAATGCATTTCTCCTCTTATTCTTTCTACAAAGTATTAAAAATATATATATTCCAATAAAACTGGACAAAAGATTCTTCGACGAGACGGGGGAAAAGGCCTCAAAAGAATTAATTCGAGAATATTGCAATACACGAATGGATGGAAAACGTTATCGAACCAATATCTATTCCGTATCGAAGAACACAAGCTACCAGTGTAAATTAATAGATTCATAAACGACGTTAGACTTGCGAAACGAAGGTAATCGGCCGGCATTAAATTTAACTAAGCGCCAAACCGCTTTCGATAATTCTAACTACATATGTAACGAACATCCTGTAGAACTACATATGTACATATATGGCCTTAAAATTGATGTTTCTCATTTGTCCGTGCCAAGTACCAAAATCTATTGGCAGCGGTGAAAACATCGACGGCTCGATATTTATAACAAGATGCATCAAGCTGCGTGCCAATATTTTTTCTGACGACGAAGATTTCGAAATAGATCTCGAACTTTAAACCACTGTTTAACTTTGAACCAGGCTCAGGCATTATTTGAATGAAATGTTTGAAAAATAATTACTTAAACAGTACGTCATCTTATTTGACGCGATATTATTTTGGAATAATTCTGCGTTAGTTGATTTGAACAGACAAATAATTCTCCTCGAAATGATATCGTCATAAAATAATTTTTTTTTAATTTATCTTTATTTTGTATTTGTTTCTAATAATAAATAATTTTTTAAATAGTTCATAACTCTATCATGCAAATTTTATCTCGTGCTGGGATCATTTGTTACTTTTAGACTTTAGGATTTCTGTATTTAGACTAGAATTTTGGACTAGGTATTTCTTTTTGGGAAATTTGAAACTCCAGAAATCTACAGGTTATATATAATTAGTGTATAAAATAACTCTATCTCTTATCGCGATTCTATTTCTGCAGTTATTATTATATTTTATATTACATACATTGTAATAATATAATAATAATATAAAAGAATATTTATTAAATTTATTATATTATCATATTGCCTATATAAATGTCTACATTTTAATCTAATAGAATTATCTTTTAATGTAACTTTTGGAGCTGAGTTGTAGTAATTTGGTGAAATAGTACATCCAAATAAAAATAATAACAACGATAATAACATGTAATAATATAAAAATTAATTACTATTAATAATCTTTTAAAGCGAAGATTAATATCTTAATTACATAATTAATTTTAATTTCATCATCACATTTTTTTTATTTTTTAAATTAACAAAAATGAAAAAGCTCCGAGAGACTTGATGGAAAAATTCCGTGCACTCTGATGAAAAGTTAATTTATCAAGCTGAGTGTATTTTTAATAAAATTTCATACGTAAAAGATTTGAAAAAAATTGATGGTTGAAAAAATGAAGTGTGCCAAAAATCCTCTCTTGAAAATAAATTTGATAAAATGCATGAAATAAAATACCTAATGCGTGTAAACTAAAATAAATTATATCTATTTTTCTTTAATATTGATATAAACATATCAAGTATAACCTAACAATCATTAATAATTAAACAAATCTAATAAATAAGTACTACTTAAATAATATTATATCTGATTAAAATATCTCTAACCACATTAAACTGCTATTCTATAATACTTATTAATAAAATTATCTCAATTAAAAGAACGTAATATATACTACTGTCAAGTATAAAAGACTACTACAATATATTAATCATTACGCTCTTTTGAAAACGATATTAAACGTCGCGGTAATTCATAACCGTGATGACTCAACTCCAATTTTTCGCAATGAATTTTGAAAACAACGAACAAAATTAACTAAATTCAGATATATTTAAAATCATATAAATTTAGATATTATCTAAATTTATCTAAAAATCTAATTCCTTTGTAGACAATGCAAGCAACGAACTGAACTTTATTGTTTATTCGCACCACGATACGAGTGGCTTCGAACGATTATCGATAACAACAAAGGTTCGTCGCCACGAGCGTGACTTCAACGTATCTACATATCTACGTATTACGTATGCAAGTACATTCGAGCGAGCACTAAAATACGCGTGACATTGAACGGGAAAGAAAAACCAGCGTCAAACGATATGCACACGTATGTAGGTTTTACATATGTTCACGCGTAATAAACAGCAAAACGAACAGACCTAACTGCACGTTGAATGGCCGATGTTCACGGTTCAGTTACGTTCAAAGGATTATTAATCGGCGTTAGTGAAACGTTCAATGAATAGACTTACCCTAGAGATGCGTAGGGGTTGATGCAGGTCATGCCCACCATGCATACGGAATCCCCAAGGGGAACCGCCGACGAGGGTGACTTCTCTCGCACTCATCCCGCCTCTCTTACCACTCTCCAGCAACCACTCGCTCGCGTTTCAATCCGTACGCGAGACGTAACTACACTGTTCGCCGATATAGACGCCACGCCGTCTCGTTTTACCCGTCACCAGCCGACCAACGAGATCGTAGTTCGCGCTCTTTCGCGCAAAATCGCTGATCGCGCGTAAATTCGTTCTGCGTACGCGTCAACGCTCGCATTTCTCGAGTACCGACCTGCAAGCTTTAACGGCGATCATTGCCAACCCGTTTACCCGAACAGTAATTGTCAATCAGCGACATTACCGACCACGCATCATCTTTCAACGAACGAACGAACGAACGATCAACGAACAAGGTTTCAATTCACGGACGACGGTGCGTGTAAATTACGAATTTTGTCGATGAAACGGGCAATGAACGTTCGCGACGTTCTCGGTCATCGAATTAACAAATACGAACAGTCACTGGTGACAAAAATATTAGAAACAACGAAGAACGAACAAAGACGCGAGCCACACTCGTCGATGGTTCGCGGAATACTGACGGCTCATTCCCCCTCCCCATAATCCTCTGCGCGCCACCCTTGCTTGCTATCCTGTCAAACTCACGCTACCCGGCGGAACACGCGTGCCCTCCCCACTCTGTTCCCGCAGCCGCGATCAACGTTTCCTAACTTACGATATCTAACTTTATTTCGGGTGAACCACTTGTAGCTTATATTATGTAGGTACTTGATGCACGAATAATTATTCGGTTACGTTATTTGAAGGTTACAGGAGAAAAATCTGTATTTTTAATAATTTTTTTAAATCTTAAGGTTGATTTATAATTGACAAGGAATATTTTCATATGAAAATTAAAAAAGATATACACATTTTGAGTTGAAAGTTAAAATTTTCCATCAGGATATAATCCAAGAATGTAATCACAAAGATCCAATGTTTCAATGTTATAAAATAATGTTGTAACAATATATTTAAAGTTATACAAAAGATGTGATTGAAGATGTAAACAAGAAATTCATTATTCACTCGAAGCCTTGAAAAATGATTTCTGCGTGAAGTCATATCGGATAGATTTTATAGAGACAAAGTCTCTATAAAACTCTTATTAAACTATACATATTTCAGTTCACTTGAACATACAGAATTTTTCATTTCTTGTTTGTTAGTCCTAATTAAGTTACTTCTATCTCTTCATTTTTCTAATTAAGACAGGATTTTTAATAAACATTAAAATGTTTGTATACTGTTTGGCAATTTGTTATTGTCAAAATATTCATAAAAAAATATCATAGATTATATAAAGTTTTATGAATAAAATAGTCATACAATATTTAGTCATTAATCATAAGATTAATATTAATGGCTTATTATGTTACCTTACAATATATGTTTTTAAACAATTTTATTGTACTTATAACACTGAAATGTTCTTAATAGTAATAAGTAACTGAACTTGGATACTAGTTACTCTCACTTTAAGATTAAAACAAATAACTAAAATGTAACTTTGAATCGAACAAAATAGATCGTTGAGTTTTAGTTCACACAAATTTCTTATATACATATCAGTTAATAATAATAATATACACATAATAATAATAATAATAATAATAATAATAATAATATGCATATATTTAAATAAAATAACATATAAAAAACAATTTGATACCGACTCAATACGAAAATAGAAAAAAATTAAGTTTATCTTTTTATCACTTGAAATGTAGTAATGATAAAAAAATATAATCCTAGTTATAAATGATTATTATATTGATATTAAAAATATAAAACATAGTAACTGAAAAATTTTTTCTTACAAGCTGCATCATATTGAACTTGAACATAAAGTATAAACTTAAATGCTGTAAATGCATAAACATCCGTAATATAATAATTATTTTAACATTAATAATAATTGCAAAAGCAACATAAAAAATAGTGTACATTTATAAAAACTTTTACAAAAGTATATTAAAATAATATATAATATAAAAAATGTATAAATTCCTTAATTTATCGTGCGTAAATTTATTGACGTAAATTGATTTCATTTTTAACAACCCATTGATCATACTGATCTCTCAAATAATTGTATGCATCGGATTTTTTATCCTCTTTATTCTTTTGTCTTTTCGTTTTTTTCTTTTTATTGTTGTTATCATTTATTAGGTCGTTATCATTTATTAGGTCGTTAGCAGGTGCCATTTTCATCGCATTAATTATCACATCTGGATTTTCTTTGACAAATCTTGCAACTTGCATCAGTGATGTATCTACTTTCTCGTTGGATTTTTCATAGATACTACGTTTAATACGCCAATAACAGGACGTAGGCCGCTTGCTCTCAAATATTTTCACGTCGTCCACCGTTGTCCACTCTATATTATCTATATATTTGACTGGCTGTTTATTAGTGACATATTCATAAATTGCACGTGTATCAATCTCACAACGATAATAATATGTAGTGTCATTTCGAACAGTTTCCATATATTCCGTTACTAAATATCCTGCAACGTTTTGATCATGAATTTTATGTATATCAGATTTATGGCGTATACAAGAAAGACCAATATACAAGAAATTAGCATAATGACAATCAGCATTAAGTTCTACTTGTTCTTTCTCGAGTGTTTGTCCTAAAGTAGCATGATACGTCAACGTATATGGACGTAAAGGAAATTGCCATAAGTTGTCTGTATACTTAATTTTGTCCATTAACCATTTACGATAGGCTGGTAAAATTTGATAATAATTAAGTTTGATTCGTTGAATTTTCTTAACCTGAGCATCTTTTATAAAACGGATTTCCAAAGACCCGACTTCAAAATTGGATAAAAATACATTTTGCAGCAGAACAACATGATGAACACCTTTTTCATCAATATAAATATATTTGTATCCTTTTACTAGTAACAATGTGGGGAAAAATTTACCGTTCCGATTTTTGGGAAGAGGTTCTTTGATGCCATTTATGTTTTGATAGTAAAATGGTACCTCATAGTATGGTTTTTTACTTAACTTACAATAGTCAATTAAGCGATATAAACGCTTTCTAATATTCTGATGAGTTTGAGCAATATAAATTGTATCGAAACGTTCTTCGGTGAAATATTTCGATCGAAATAGAGTATATAGATAATAACGCAAATCATAATAAAATGGAATATTTCCAGCAGGTTGTATTTGCAGCAAACGTTTATGGAAACATGATATTTCATTTTCAAGTATATTATCACATGTTCGTATGTTTTCAGCTAACTTATTTATTGTCAAATCGTTAAGTATTTGAACAATATAAAAATTATTCTCCTTGTGAAATACCGATTTATTGATAGCATCTAACTGCGTACGATTGCCAGCAAAAATTAAATATAGTTTATGTTGAAGCGATATTATGTACAATAAAAGCAACATTGTTGGTGAGGGTATAGTATATATGTCTAAAATAATAATAGATGCATTTTCAGCTACAAACTTTTTAGAATAAACGATTAACTTATAAAGTTCCGTAATATTATCTTTATCATACATTCGAAACATTTCAATCGCATTTTCATACTTTAGATTGAAATGATGCATAATAAAAGATATGAAAGTATAAGTCTGAATGTTCCACAACGAAATTTTACTCGCTTGGTCTTTCCGGAATATAATAAATTTAATTGTCTTCTGATAGTCCTTGGCCAAAGTGCATAAAAGAAACGTTTTACCAGTACCGCTTGGAGTATCGATCGTAATAACTCCTCTATCATTTTCTTTTAAAAATTGATGTATATTATTGTAAACTTTCCTTTGATACTTGGTTAAGTTGTTAACATCAGGCACCTTTGGTTTATCACATTTGGGACAATTAGATTTACTAATGGTCATAGATGCCAGTTTTTCATTCAGTTTCTGCATTGTAGCGCTGTTGTTATTTTCTTTCTTCATGTTTAGAAAATGAATTAATAAAAACAATTACCATTAATATATGTTTTATAAAATTATTAGCATAAAAATTTGACATAAAGAATCTTTCTTACCTTTCTGAATATTATTGAACCCACCGTCTGAATTCACCACGTTATTTTTTTCAGATGTTTATCAATGTGTTGTGATCAAAATGTTTCATGTTTAAACGTCTGCAAATATAACACAATTGTTAGAGCATAATTTAGATTAATATTAGTTATCAAATAGATGAATATTTCTACATTTGATATTTACGTTATTATGAATTAATTGTAGAGTCTCTCTTTATTTTTCTTTTTCCTTCACAATAATATTGTAGCAACTATTCAACTGATAATAAATTAAATAAAAATAAAAAATTCTTGGATGATATGATTATCGAATACAAATGTGAATATATAGTTTAAGATAATCGTCGTCATTCAATTAAAAGATAGACGTCATTCAATTAAAATGGTATTTCTATAAAATATTAATGCGATTTATTGTAAATTAATAGAGATAGAGTTTATCTTTTTTATATCTGATAACTTACAATAATAAAGTTCTAAAATGATATTAAAATTTGTTTGATTGATCGAATCACTGAATCACCAAAGAATTATCAATATTTTTCTGGCATATAGATACATATGTCCACAAATAAAGAAGAATATGATGTTAATCGTCGGAATGTCGATCTCATACAAAGGTACTGCAACATCAAATGGCACCGCTCTATTATAACGATCGAAACATTATACTCTGTCCATAATGTACTATAGCTTAGCGATAAAGCGTATGTGGAGCATAAACAACTGCAGATTTGTTTTCGAAATCGATAACGAGAATACGAAAACTCAATAGTTTCCATATTATTGGATTCCATACTAATAGGAAAGAATTTTTAAAATTTATTAATTTATTACATATTTGTACCGAATTTATTATTTCACACTATTAATAATAAAACTAATGAAAGTATATAATTTATCTGATATATCTTTAATGATATATTAATACATATGAGTTAGAACTGATAAAAATATAAACATGTCTTAGACATGTCTTTAACTAATACATCTACGATAGAAAAATGAAAAAAACTACTAATGATTATTTCGATAATACATTAGGTATAGTTTTATTGACATAATTCCAATGTCAGAATCAAATTGATTTCAAGTCATTGTTAACTACGTCATTGATATATATAAATATATGATATTGACATTCTATCAATAAAGTTGTACACTGAATTTAGAAACAAACAAATTGTATGATATTACATGATTGAAAATGACGTATGTTACCATTAAATTCGTTTTGACAAGAAAATATATGACGATATGTGACGAATGTATGATAAATACACATGTACGAAAATATAAGAAGAAAGTATATATATGTAAGAAAAATATGTATGTGAAAAAAGACGTAACAGGGTATACGGATTAGTCATATGTATGTATACAAATATATATATATATGTATACATATTTGCGTTTTATCAAATTTTGTATATGTATAAAAGTGGTAGCAAAAATCTGGAATAATTCACCAAGGACTAAGCATGTCGAGAGTCAGATATCGGCTAGAAACAATTCACGTTGGCCAGAGACGACGTAAATCAGGAGAATGTAACTCATGATACCACTGTGTATTTTTAGTGTATATGTTTGTGTTTGCAATGTATATATGTATTTTAAATTCTTCTCTTCTCATATTTGAAAATTTCGAATTTTCGTGATTTAAATGTACAATTTTTTGAAATATTAAACTCTAAAATATCTAAAATATCTAGTCTTTTCTACTTACTTATTTACACGTTGGGCAAAACTTCACTTGTATTTATGTAAAAATATATGAATACTGATTACAACAACTACTCAATACGATCGCCGTTACAAGACTGAACTAAACCTCTGTTCATTTTTTTCTGCGCGCGAAATTCTTCCTACCCCTTCCTATCTAAAAAATTCGAATGCTGATTGGTTCCATTGGTTCCAACGTGCTTAAAAGAACATTCTAAAAGAATACAATAACACCACGCACCCTCAGCATCTTTGGTGGGAAAAGTAGAATGATATTTAAATGACCATGAAGTAAACACGTGGTGACTTTCTTAAGTCTTTCTGCCTCTTATAATTCTACATTCAATATTAAATATGTATACGAACTATCGATTAACATTTTAATTTATTAACTTAAATTTCAATTTTATGATATCGTGCTGTTACAGAAATGAATTATATCTATATAACTATGACGCATTAAAATCCTGACTCAAAAAGAGTAGTCTCAATGTATATTAAAAATGTTTATTACATGCTAATTCAAACCTTTAATTTATGTATGTAGTTTGAAAGAACAATTTCAAGAATGAAATTTACAGGGTGTTTCATGTAATTTACTAAATATCAATTCTACTATTAAAATTATTATTAAAATATTAGTATTAATACTAGTATTGTAAATTATCAAATTTAGTTCGATTGAAAATCATATAGAATAATCATTTTACAAATTGATCTGAAGGCAATACGATCACCCAACTAGCTGCGACGATACCGAGTGTGTATGTGTAAACTGTCATTAGAAACTGATGTAGATCCTTTATCAGAACGGAAATAGCTTACATGTGTAAAATGAAAACGAGTAATATGATCTGCTCTGTGATGGCATTACTGCTAAGGTCCATTCTGATACTGTATCAGTTTATAAACACTTATGATTTCCATTTACATAGTCGTGAAAGATTTTCTCCAGAAGAAAAGGACCTCAAAAAACTAAAGGAACAAATATATTTAATTAAATATATATTGTGTAGTGGATTATAATGCAGTTAATTAATTATATAATTATTTATTTATTATTTATGTTAATTTTTAAGCGTGATCATAATTAATTAATTAGCTACATATATAATAAAGTTGAATAATTTATTATATTGAGCATTATAGAGCAATATAATTAGTAGTAAAAATAAGAGAAATAAATAAGTAAATAAAATACTCACAATTTTGTCGTTATAAAAACTGTGGTAAATTTTTAAAAAGTTTATTTAGATCAACATGTTATGCATAAGAATTTGTTTGCGAATCACTTGATATTAATAATGTGAACACTTTATATATTATTTCAATTTGTCACTTTGTTAAAATTTAACTGATTATAAATATAAAAGTGTACTGTATAATCCAAAAAATTTTACGAATATTCCTTTTCCAATAAAATCATTAATATTAACGCCCTAAGCAAGTATACTAGCAGGTATAAAATTTAATAATTCATTTCTAACGTCCATGACGAGAATGTATTCTTGGTTTAACAAAATAAATATGATACTTTAATTAAGATGCGAAATTCCATTTAAAATTTGCACATTACTCACAATTTTGTAAAACTAATAAAACGTTTAAAGTAAAATATTGAAGTTGATGAAAGTAGCAGAAGTTTCGTTGAATAGCTTCTTATTTCCAAGTAAAAATTTAAATTATACTAATAAAAACTAATATTTTTAAATAAAATAGAAAAAGAAATTTTGAAATGAGTGATTTCGAAATATCATGTAGTAGAAATAGTTTTTCTATTTTAAGTTTTGTCTAATATTCAGTTTATGTCATCGTATAAAAAAAATTTACCATAATAGACATATATTAAATATTGAAAAATATAATAATAAAATTATTTAAACTTACTCTTTTTAAAGTTTAACACTATAAACACTTTTTACAGTTCAATACTTTAAAATATAACACAGAAGTTTGTTTCGAGAATAAGGTAGCTTTGTACAGTACTTCTTAACTCGCCAATTTAAGACTGACTGAAAGCTGATATGTCTATTCCTTATTTATATCTTTTTATGAAGTGAATTCTTCATTTAAATCTGGTTTTACGCGCGGAATTACCGTACGTCTACGTGACGCATTTTACAATAAAGATAGTAATCGGAAAACTGTTCTCAATAACGATAGCGTAATCGCGGAAAATCCGTTGGTGTTTTTGTACCATACAATTCAGAAAGCATATTCAGAAAACAGAGTGATGATGTAACTTCAGCATATTATATCGAAAAATCTAATTATATCTATTGCGTAATGGACTAACAATGAAAGAAATAAAGAGGAATATCTTTGTATGTAATTTTAAAATAATCAACAACTATATATACAGGCACAACATTCGAATCAGTATAATCTACATTAAAATTTCAATTCCAATGTTTCTAGATTCTACTATTTTCAAGAAATTTAATATTTAAATTGTTTTTCACTTAATCTAGACTGTATCGAGTGTCCGTAATGCAAACTGATCGATCTTTGATTCTTATCTAACATATATACATAAGTCTTTTCTGTTAGTTCGCGTTGTTAATCGATAAAGTTAAACCATGTATGAGGGGAATTCCTTGAAACGATTTATCGTATCGTATAATGTTTCATCAGTGAATCAAGAATTTCTCTTTTTATTATTATATTTTCATTTCAAAATTATACAATATAATAACTATAATAATGATTTAAATATTATTTTAATATTTAATTCATAAAATAAGAATATTTATAAAAATAGGTATCGAGTTAAAATGTTGATTAGGAACAAAAATATATTAAAATTTTTCTTCCCTTAACTTTCGTTAGTTATTTATGACATTTTGTCATATATGTAATGACATTATGAAAAATATTAATAAAGAGAGAATATGTCTACATCCTTAAACATTTCATAACAAGGGAATAACGTATTAGGCGTAGGACAAAGTAAATTTGAATTTTACTTACAGAACATTGTTTTAAAGGAATTTAAATTTTATTCCAATTCGAATCTAGTTATTCACAAACCATCATCCACACCAACACGACGACTTAATATAGTAATAAAAACAAAAGTACATGAGCGACTTGAGATACGTGCTCTGCGAAGTTATGTGATTGAATGCATCGTAATCTCCTCAAACGAGAGTGCATGCTGACTCAACTTCAAAGCTCTATACGTGGCATTTGACGTCTGGTTAATCATATATTTGCTTGTGTGTTAAATACATCATTATTTTAAAAAAATAAGAAGTTTCTTTTATGAATCAAATTCCTAATTAATCCTAGATAAAAATCTTTAAAGCCTGAGCAAATGAACTAATGCATTTTGATTAAAACTGTGTTGTATGTATTTCTTCATACATACCAATTTAGTATTATTAAATTATATATATCGTCAATAAAAAGATACTATAAAAATAAATTTGTTCAAATTACATTAATATTAATTAAACAAAATATATATGTACATATTTCATTTTAATTTTATAATTAGTAAATTTTTTCAGTTTGTTCTGTTTCTCTTTTTTTTACAAAAAGATTGTAATTTTGAAGTTCTGATTTATAAATATAATTTGTTGGAATAAATACAAACGCGATAGTTATTTCAGACAAGAGCAATTCTTCGTTTGTTTCGAACGAAAATATATATCTTCTGCATCTACACGAAGTATCAGGCAAAATTCAAATAATAATAAGAAACAATCATATTTAGAAAAATAAATAATTATAATCTTTTGCATTATTTTAAACAAAAAAAATCACAAATATTATTCATTGAAAAATGATCGAATTCAAAGGTGATAACAGTGAGAAGTTCTATAATAACATTATCCTTGAGAGTTAATTCATATAAATAATTATTTATTTGTACTTTTACATTTATTTACTAAAGATTAATTAAGATTACTATAAAATATTTTTTACATTGAAAATGCATTTATTATTTTGATCAAATAAAATTAGTTATTATATATAAGAAATAACTGTAAAACTATGTATACGTAAAAGTATAATAAAAAGAAAAAAAGTTTATAAAATTAATTGATAGGCATTTAAAAAAGTAATTGAGAATAACTTATAAAGAGGTATACTATAATTACAACCATTTAATTGGTACTTACTATATTTAACTGCATCAGTTTTACATAAAATAAAACATTCAAAATATTGTGGATAAAATATTTCCATAAAATAGTTCTTCTTAAGTATTTAGAGAATTATATTAGCTAACTATAACTGAAAAAGCTTTTCAAAATTAAATTTCTAATAATCTTATTTAAATTCACTACTTCAATGTATGTACTAAGCTGGCTGGACAGTTTAACGGTTATTTAATCATAGTTATTTAGTTTATGTAGGTTGGTATTCATAGTTGCTGCTTTACACATTAAAGTGCGCGAAAATTCAAGACAACTATAAGTCGATTTTTATTTTAAAAGTAAACTTGAGCAGTAAATTATTCGAGATGTAAGTATAAAATAATAATTGAAAATTTTACTTCAGTGCTTCCCCTTAATCTAAAATTTTCTTTGTATATTCCTGATTCGATAGTAAATTATATTCCGTAAACCGTAGTAAACTATTGCATTGAAGAGGGAAGTATTTATTATTCTGTAAAATGTGATGTACACGTGCAAAAGGAAAGTGTGCAGAGTTCAAAAGGGGATTCTCAACGAAAATGACCTTCTTAAAACAAATGTTTAGAAAACTAACTAACAGTAAGACCAAACATCTGTTTAGAAAACAGAATAAATAAGGATTATACATGACTTAACCAAGATATCTAGTTTGTTACAATCTATAATAATTAAGCTGAGAATTTAATCTAAAGTCGGTAAAGCGATTGGCGATAACAGCGGAAAACAAATAAAACATGGATTTGTATAAGATAGACTATACATGCAGCAGCACTGAATTGCAAAGAGAGGGTAATTTGTTGTTGCTCTGCTTTCAATAATGTTTGCTATTTTAGTATGTATTCAAATGGCAAGTCACAATGATGAAAACAGTTTAACCCGGGATTACCCACCTGGGGGTCTGGCGCAGGTACATCCCGGCGACTAGACCTTCACGTGGGTAATCCCGGGTTAAATACAGAAATGTTAATAACAGAAATTCAATTTGGTCAGATGTTATAGCAAAGTAGTCATAAAGATTTTAAAAATAAAACTGTAACAGACAAATGGAAAGAAGTAGGAAAACATTGTAATTGTACAGGTAAATAATGTTTATTGTATTATTGTATTATTGTATTCTTATATCTTTGCATTAATTGCAAAGATCATTAATAACATTTCTTGATTGTAGGTTTAGGCATACATATATTTCTCAATATAAGTTTGCTCTATATAACTGCATGTTTCGAATATAGTTGATTGCTTGCTTACAGTTGATTCATTCGGGAAGCAAATATCAATGAACAAAAGGCTAATCATGTAATTTGTAGCATAATAATATCTATATAGAATGAATATATGTGCGCAATGAGAAAATGTTAGGGCACAATATCAAAAAAATTAAAATTTTTGAGAAATTTCAAATTTTATATAGCTTGTAGTATTATATTTGTCTTTCGTCATACACTTACAAATTCTTTCTGGTAATAAAAAAGTTTAAATAAATATAACATGAATACAAATTTCTTGAAATTAAATGATCAAGAGAGACTAGTTATTAAGCTTGTCGAATTTTATTTTTACGATAGTGATAACTATACTTTTAATAGTATTTACTATTATTTTACTACAATTAATATTTACTACAATTATTTCTATACACATGGTATATACATATACGTATATCGTAAGAACGAATACGTCATAATTTAGCAGTTGTGATATATATGTTTCATTTCAAGAATAACAGAAATGACGCAACTGAACTGTACATGTCATAGTTAAATATAAATATAAATGGCGTAGGGCGGTGGCATGTGTCACTATTTCGATCGATAATTGTTTCGACGAGTGTTCAATTCGATCACTTAACATCACCTACTTTTTGTGCTAATGAATTTTGTGCATTTTCTCTATTATGCATTACCTTTTAAAGACTATTTTCATTACGGCCATAAAAGGGAAGGTTGACGAGTTAGTGTAAGGAGGTTATATAGAGTTTTCGTTTTGACAGGCGCAATCACGCATTACCGTGGTGGGACGGTAAAAGAAGTCAGTTAAAAAGTTCAGCAGTAGAGAAGAGAACGACGTCGTCATTAGTTGTGTGGACGAGTTCAAGCTCGTAGCTTGCTTTGGTTAGATAAGAAAAAATTGGTTATTTTGTATAACAGATAAAGTGAATGTTACAAAATGGATGATAAAAAGACAGGTCAGTACATAAAAGATGAGGATTTTATTTAAAAATAATTTATTTTCAGTATAATTTAATATTACAATGTAATATCAACTATTTTTTTAATGCAATTATATGTGCAACAAGAACAGCTGGCAACAGCATATATGTACATGTATAGAATTTAAATTGATTTTGAAATATTTATTTGATTTAAATGAATCAACTTCTATAATACGTACTTCTATGTACTTCTTTTTCATACACAATTGTAAAGTGTTGAGTAGCTTTATTAAAAAAATTTTTTTTTCTATATTAGAACACATTGTCATGACTCCAAAATGTAAGACTGCAAATTCTACGACCCTTATAATAGAAAGGCAGGCTTTAGAACCGCCAACAGAAAACGGAAATGAAAATAATGTTCATGTTGCTGGAGGAGATCACAAAGGAATAGTTATTAATAAACAAGCAGCTGCTGGTACATAAAATTCTATATGTATCTGACATGTTAAGAACAATGTTCATATAAAAGAAAATAATGTTAATAATGAAACTTTTGTAGTTACAAATGGTGAAATTCATCCAGCGCATCTTTGCTTACAATTTAGAGTATTCTTAGTGAGTGCTCAAAGTGGAAAGCATACACAAGAATCTAGAACTCTTCAATTTTGGTTCATAGACACACTTTCAGAAGCAGAACATCCAAGTGTAGCACAAGAATTTTTTAGGGAATTAGTCAGTCCTCAAGAATTTCCAAGAGGTAAAGATCATTTTAAATTTATTTAAGTTTGTAATATATAATTAATAGTATGTATAGTACACAATTAAACCATCAAGTTTATTTATAGAGTATTGATTTATTGTATAAATGTGAACCAGTTTTACTTTTTGAACATTATAATATTAATATAGAATAATAATCTATTTTTATATTATCATTTTAAAAGAATAAGAATACTATTACAAACATAAAATAACAAATATTTTTTTCTTTTTACTTTTTTTGTTTGTAGTGTATCTAATTTCAACAAATTATGTGATTTTGTTACAGATTATGTTGGATTTATAAAGAAAATAATGAAGTTAATGTTACATAAGTATTCTACAATTAAAAAGATAGAAGTGGAATTAAAACAGCTTGAAGAACCAGTTAATCTTCCAGCTAGACCATGTAAGTACAATGTTATATTTTTTAATTTTATTTAAATTTTTGTATAATTATATTTAATGAATTTTTCTTTGTAATAATATATAAGCTAATAAATAAAACCCTAAGTTCCCTAGCTAAAAATATTATTTCTTATGTACAAATCATATTTTATAACTATATTAATTGTTTAAGTCTGACATTGAAAAATTAATACTCATATGTCCATTTAGTTTTAATCATTCATTTAGTTATATTACAACACTTTCTTTATGTTACTAAAGTAACTCTGAAGTAGGGAGTAGTATCAAGATTTATTTGATTAGATTCATTGAACCAAATGATCTTTATTGAAAGATATTGGAGCAGTGTGTCTCAAGTGTGCATTACAACTGAAACTGAAGGAAATGTACACTTAGCATTTGTGCTGCTCATGTTACTTGTGTACATGTTTTATACGTGATATATATTCATTCTATATAAAATAAAAGTGTTATTTTTAATCTCTGTTATTCACAGCTGATACTGGTCATATACTGTTCACACTTCTTCCATATAAGAAAATTAATTGGAAATCAGGTTGGAGACAATGAAAAAATTGCATATTTTATTGCGATTTATGTTTATTAATATATTATAAGCAGGCTATTATATAAAATATAATACTGATTAAATATTTGCCGGTCAAAAATTTCAAGAGAAATCCCTTGCAAAATTTTTTCATTCATTTAATTTTATTGTAATTTTCTCTAATTTATTATTATTTACTTTATTAATGATGCATAAATATATATATATTGAAAGACATAGATAATTCATAATATTTTACAAAATATAAGTAAATATAAAACTTGTTTATCTATATATTGACCGGTAAATACATGTTCTATTGCTTCATGCAATAAAGTAGTTACCATAACAACATTGGCTTAACACAATGTTTTCCTTAGTTTTTGCATTAATCCAATATTAAACATTTAACATATATTTTAGTGTTCATTGTTGTTTTACTTAATAATGAAAATCATAATTTATGATTGTTTCAATTTATTTTTTTTTCTTTACAAAATGTTGATTAATTGACTAAAAACAAAAATTAGATATACATTTTTAGATGCATATCTTATTAATGAAGTATATCATGCTTGTAATATGAATGCATGATTATGAATGCAATAATATTCTTTAATTTTAAATTTTAACACAGTGTGTGACAAAAATAGTACATTTAGATATGATCAATTAATATGTTTAAAACATTATTATTCATAAAAAAATATGTTTTATATCAAAAAATTTATTTTCAATTATATACTATTTTATGTTCATTAACGACAAAATTCATTATATTCTATGTAACATTTTTTTATTGCTATTTTGCTATTTAGTATAATACATCCATAAAAAGCATTCACTTTCCGTTCATGGTCGCCCACTGCCATATAAAATATTTAGATTTAATTTCTATGTCAGTAATTCTACAAAAGGTACTGGTAGTAGACATTACATTTTTATTCCAAGTTCTAAGTAGCACATGTTTAGCATACACAAATACACAAAGGCTATAGTTTATTTTGTTTATAAAAAATTTAAAAATCGATCACAAATAATTTATTTTTAAATGAGTATCTATATCTATATATTGTGCAGAAATATAGAATGTATTAAAATGTGATAATATTTAATTTTTTTGCTTAACAGTATCAACAGATGAGACAGTTATTGGTCAAGTGGTTGAATTGACAATAGAAAAAGTGTTAGAACTTATTGAATCAGCTTATCCAAATCCAATTACAATAACTGATATAGCAAAGTAAGATTTTTATTGTTAAAAATTAAGAATAATTGTAATTAAGTTTGCATTAGAGAGTTAGTATACCAGTGTGTGCTAATTATTGTAGAGAACATGGCTGGGATCCTTCTGCCGTTGAAGTAAAATTAAAAGAATTACAGGAAAAAGGTGTTGTTAAAGCAATGGACCATGGAGCTTTTACTAGAGTTGCACACCAAGATACCCAAATACAAGTAAATTTAATTTTTATTATTTTGTGATAAATTTATAGTATACTATTGATGTACTATTTTAATAGTAGGAATTATTAGGTATTATATATGAAAAATTATTGTACTGTTTCTCTTTAGGTTGTAAAACAAATGCCAACAATGGCAAGTGCAAAACAACCTACTATAGCAATTATCACTGCCCAATATTGTGAAAAATTAGCAGTTGATTCTATGATTGAAAACAAAGAAACATTTGTTCGCTATACTACTGTGGGTAAGATATATTTCATTTAATAGCTAGTAATTATTTTTCACATAACTTTTATGAATTAATCTTCATCAATTCTATAACAGGGGGAATATAAAATAATATATGGTATGGTAATTTGCGTTTTAAAGATATAGGCTGATATTCGAATTTCTATAGACATAGAAAGACAAATTTTGAAATTAAAACAGATTTTACACTCAAATTTATTTATCTTTCTTTTTTTGTTGATGAATATATGTATATATGTGTTTATAAACACATATATATATACATAAGAAACTTCGAACGACATTTTATTATATTTTTATTATTTATAATTAACCGAATTTAAAATTCGTCGTATCAATTGTATTAGTATATGTTAGTTGACGGTAAAAGTACAAAATGTACTGCGTACGAATATTTTACAACGCATGAAACTTTAGGTACAGCAAGCTCACCTGATGCGACAGATGGAGTACCGCGAGTGACATGTCGTTTTGGTAAAGTAGTTTGTAATATAATTTCTTTTTTGTTTCAATGTCGTTTAATGTTATAGCTTGCCAATTGCTTGTATTCAAGAAATGTCGCAGTGCCATTGTGCTGTGAAAAGTACATATTAATAGACATTTTTATTAAAATATTATTTCTTCTATGCCGCAGAAACAATATATTGTTTTGTTGCAACGAAATTCACTCGACTGTCATCTCATGTATCATGTCTTCATCTTCAATCATTTACTCTTTCAGCAATATTAGCAAATTAAGTTAAATCTATTGCATATAAATATAAATATAAAATGGGCATGGTTCAACATTATCACAAATTATGTGTCTTTGTTTGTGTGTTTTTTGTTTATATGTTATTTTGTTTTGTTTGTATAAAAGATATTATTATATCATTTTATTTCCTTCAAAACTGGTATTAAGTTTTTTCAATTTATTACTATTATTTTTAAAATAAATAATTAATATTTCTAAAATTTAATTTAATTTTTTGTTATTTTTAATACAATTTTTATTATTACTATCTAATTTACTATTTATTATTATCTAATTAATTTACTAAATACACAATAAATATCATACATTATTATTATGTACACATTTATATATACATTGATTAAATTAATTATATTAATTAATTATTGAGTAAAATATTGAATTATTTGTGAAATATTAATTCAATTGTTAATTTTTTCTCAAAAGAGAAAGATATTTAGGAATAAAGATTATGAAAATAATGATAATTTTATAATTCAAAATCATATTTTTTATATTAAGTACAAATATACTATGATAGTTATTTAGTACTTCTTTCATTTGAATTAAAAAAGAATTATTTGATATAGCAATAAATATAATAGAATATTTAATTTATATATCTTGTAATAGATATTAAACACAATTGCATCTGTATGGAATGAGTCATTTTTAATGAATCTAGCCACATTGTACACAAATTCGATACCAGTCTTTCAATAGTAGCACAGTGCACATGTATCATACACAAATTTCAAAATTACTGATGAAGATAAATAAGAATTTTTTGACTCAAGACAAGATTGTTTTTGTTATAGGTGAATCAAATGTTTACACATTAGGCAATATTGGTGCACATAGAATTGTATGCACAAAACTACCAACTGTAGGTCATACAAGAGAAGCAATGACTGCGGCAGGAAATACAACTACCAGATTATTAGGTAGTATTTAAAACTGATAAACTTGCTCATAATAAATCATAATAAATTTTATACAATAAAGTAAGTATTTTACATTTTCTTTAGGTACATTTCAAAAAGTTGATTTTGTCTTCTTAATTGGAATTGGTGGAGGTGTACCACATTATACAGATTATAATAAACATGTGCGACTTGGTGATGTGGTTATATCTCATCCTGCTCCTTTTAATAAGAAGTATATTTACGTTTATTGCGAAAGTGCAAAGACAAATGAAAATGGTGATTACCATTTTGAAACCAAAGAATATTGTCCATCAAATTTATGCCTTCAAGAAATTGCTGCTAATCTCAAAGATCAGGTAAGTTATTATACTTTTAAATTTCCAATGAGGATTTAGAGTAGTTACTAACGATTTTTATTAGTCAGAGAATGAGAGAAATCCTCCATGGCAAACGTACCTGAAGGAAGGTTTAAATATTTTAAATAATCAAACGGAGCATGATTTCAAACTACCGCCACCAGAGTCCGACAAATTATACATGGCTATTGGTGAAAGAGATGTTATTGAAGTTGCGCATCCTACTGCACCTTTAGATGCGGCGAATAAAAGGTTATTGTTGTTATTTTTAATACATAAAGTTGTTATTTAGCATGTTCTATGATAAAGTACCTTTTATTATTTAAAATATTGTAATATCTCTAATTTTTAATTATTTCTGTTAACATTAATTCTATAAAAATAATGTTTTGTTGTTTTAGAACAAATGGCTGTCCACGAATTCACTTAGCACCTATAGCATCTGGTAGACATATTGCACGTGATGACCAACTCCGACAGAAATTTGCAACCCGTTTTGGAGCTCTTGCATTTGATACAGAGATGGATGCTGTAGTCGAAAGTATCTTGGGTAATTGCCGTGAAAGTTTTGCCGTTATTCGAGGTATTTCTGATTATAAAGATGGCTCTCGTATAAAAGAATGGCAGCCTTATGCATCTTTAGCTGCTGCTAGTGTAATGAAATCTATTATTTGCGCTATGGACCCACCCACTAACGTATAATACTATTTCCGATATTCGTTTTATTTCATTCCTGACAGCATTTTCTGTAATAGTGGGTAAAAATATCATTGTTTTGTTTTTTTTTTTATTTCATATGGATTTTTTAATACATAGCGGACCAACTTTTTTCATCATAAGATCAAAGTGGTCTTAACTGGCGCACTCAATCAATGAAGCGCACAAATTACATAATTCAGAATTATTAACGAATAGCATAAGTAAAGTTTTTTTTTTCTTACATTTCAAGTTGCATTTAATGTAACATGAATTGTTTATCTTATAATTAGAAGAAAATAAGATCGTGATCAAAACGAACATATACGAACGATTAAATACGTAGTAGTCAACAAGTAAGATGCACTAAATGCATTTAAAATAATTAATCGTAGTTAGTCTAAATGACTTTAATGGTAGGAATCAAGGGTAATTCAATAGATTCACGTTTCTAAATTATTTTCAAATTATTTCCAAATCGCTCAAAAATAAAATATTTGAGTGATAAAAGTCCTAACTTTTAAAGCTCAGTTTCACATAACTATTTGAAGAATATTTTTCAAGTTCCATCTTTGAACTTTTTGATGTCATTTAATAATATATTTATTATATCGATTTGCTACACTTATTTATTTTTTAACGTACTATAATATAAATTTGATATAATTTTATGAAGTATTAATGTATGGTTTTATAGAATTTTATTCCATATACACTTTGTAATTTCCATGTTTCGCCTATTGTCTTTTTATATTCATTTAATTATAATATCGAGAAATTAGTATATGAAGAAAATCGGTTCAGTGATTCTAAGACTGGTGTCATTTTCGTTCTTTCAAATACAAAATGATTAAAATTTTTTACATGGTAAAAAAATTTTTTGAGATAAAGAAACCATACTATATTGCAATAGTTAAGTAATTTAATGGTTATTATAGTAATGAGACTTTCGAATATCAAATATTAGCGGACGGGATCCGAAATAAAATAGGTACGGGAACTACAGAAAGCTTTAAATAAAGCCTCGGTATAGTCAGCAAAATAATTTAGATATAGAATATGATACCTGAGATTAAGGGCAGAAAGTACATTTGGCAGTATTTATCTAAACACAATCAAATTATCGTTCAAAAAACAATTGACTTAAAAAATATTACATGTTTGTCAGAGTATATTACCGTTTCAAACAAATCTGTCCACTTTATTCATGAAGCTACAATCTTTGAATTCGACGAGAAAGAAAGAAATATAAGTAAATAATGCCGTCCAAAAGTTTAATCGTACTTAAGAACATTAAGAATTTAATCTTATTAATTATATAATATTTAATTTTTAAAATGTTCTGACGAGATGTATGATTTTGAAACGAATATAGCTTTTGTTTATTAATAAATTCTAATTTGATTTTTCAGTTGGGACAAAATATTTGTTTGTACATGTATATAAAATATACACTATACAACATAATAATATTAAAAATATGTATGTGTTTTATATAAATCACCTAAATTATGGTGATTAAATTATGATAATTATGGATATTTTATTTAAGTGTATGATTTCTGGGCGAAGAAAGCATTATATTTACTTTTATAATGTTTTTGTTTCACACAGTATATTTATAATGTTTTATTTCATCTCAAATTTTATTATTATTTTGCTATTATTGTATAATTTACGTTGTTCTCGTTATATTATGCATTCGTATTCTCAGTAATTTTTATCCAACTATAATTTGCATTTTATGAAAACGATAATATTTATGTTATTAATTATCATTTTAATTCAAATGGTAATATGAAGAAAAATATCCAATCCATTTTTGCTCTACAGAGTTAATTCTACAACTGCGGTCAACTTTTATATTTTTCTATACAAAATCACGGATGTTGAACGTTATATCTTGTATAAGTTTATCACAAGGAGACTAATTGCAATGTAAAAGAAATCAAAATAAGAGAAGAAAAAGGAAATATCGATGTCATTCGTCGAAATTAACAGAATAAATAAAACGCGATTTTATAATCCATCAAGAAGGTTATTGTTACAGTATATTTAAAATTTGTTACAACTTTATAGTTTATTTTGTCATACGTTTATATGTTTATGAAGTAGATCGTTTTTACATATTTTCAAATGATGAGCAATCCGCTACAAATGGTTGTGATCACATGTCGTTCCTACTTCATTCTCTTAAACTTTAACTTAACTATTTTCTTTTTTCGATATTCCATATTTATATAGTCGTATAATATGACAGAATTAAATTCTATATAAAAATAGTGCATGTAATAAATCAATACACATTTTATTAAGTAAAAAACATATATCATTTAAATTTTTTTATCTTTATTATTATATTTCATATAATTATGAAGATATAAAATTTATGGTATAGCCAAAAATAAAAAGGAAAGGTTACGTAGAGTTTACTTTGTATTCTTCTTACGTCAGAATTTGACTGATAGTTTATAAACTCAATTACGTATATACAGCATTTATATTCTAAAACTAGCTATTTAGAGATATATTTTAAAAAAACATATTTTTTGAATATTATTGTCGCTAATATAATAACAGGTTTCATGATTATTATATATACAAAGCAATATTTTTATTTCTCATAGATTTTCTTTGATTTCATCCATTATATTTTATTATGTTGCCAAAGTAAATTATGACTGTGTTAAATAATGCATTCAATGCAGCAGATTAGTTTAAATTGTTAATCTAAATCATTTGTTATATTGTTTTAACAAACTTCTATTAGATAATCTTAAAATTAATTAAAGGTTTGATGTTTAGTTTCATTTTAATCATAAATGAGTGCGATTAAACGTTTGGACGATGGTATACGCACCAAATATATTAGAAACTATACAATTAATTAACATTAATTAAAGTGCCAATGTGTTCAATAAATTTGGATAATGCAGAAATAAGATTCTCTAAAAGATGAACGAATAGAAAATATCTTTATATTATTGTTCAATTTTATCACGATGCGTTTAGTCTATCATTGCTGTAAAAATTAATTTATTTGGTACTATGAGCAATCGTTACGGTAATAATTACGGTAATACATGTAATAATATTTGAAAAGAAAAGGATTTTTTCTTTCGAGAGTATTTTATTCGTTTATCTTTTAGATTAATATTTCCACCGTCTGCATAACAGACCAATATTACTGAATTCTGCTGCCTATTTGAAATTCCAGTGTGGATGTTCAAATGTCTGAAAATTGTTTTAAAAAGAATTCGATAATATATAAGCTTTGTTAGCAACTTTGAATGTAACTTCCTCGCATTTTAACGTCTTTATAGATTCTAAAGCACAGGGTAGCGTACGAGAACTTTATATTTAAGTGACATTTAAATATTCGACTCGAGCATAAATCTAAAGAATTAGAAAAGTAGTACATACACGTTAAGTATACACGTATTGTTGGTAGCATCAAAATTTTCAAACTTTAGCATCATGGTGATAATCTGTGAATTTCACAAGTGATCGCTAATCAAAAATCTTTATTTATTTATTTATATACGCATTCGTTGCGTTTAAAATAATTTACATCATATGAAAACCGTAATCATTGCGCTTATAATACATATAATTTTATTTTCCTTTTATGAATGTTATTTCATATTGTTTTAAACTTACGATGTCGATGTGCAAACAGAGGAAAAGAATGGAAGACGAGTAAAAGATTTCTAACAGTAGGAGGACCTCAAATCAAGTTATTCGATGAAAAGAATCACTTGTTGCGTAGAAGCACATTTTAAAGAAAATTCTATGAAATATAGAGAGTAACTATTTAATATATATATAAAATATTATATATATATATATAATATTATAAATATATGCAAATACATATAAGTATACACCTATTTAAAATATTTAGTATATAATATAACATACGAATCGTGAATTCTATCACATGATCAAACATTAAATTCAATTTACCTGATGATACAGATTCCTACATAAGGCCTAAATATTATGTACGAAACGAACGAAACTTTGTTACGCATTGTGTTTTAAGCGGGACTTTTAAGCCTCGAGTTTCCAGACTATGTATTTACATATATTTGCGTTTAGTATTATGCGCTTTCAACGCTAGTCGCACTATTGTGTTTTCCGTCTATTTATGTGTAAGTTTTAAATGGCAAATATTATCGCATACGCATACATATATAGTGTATATCTACGTCCACTTACAATTAGTTTATATTTAAAAAGAAATTTATTAGCATCTGTAATGAACATATAATCGCAATGGATTTCAATTTTGTCCGTTCAAGCAAGTGATTTCGAATATTCGGATCTCATCCCGATGTCTAAGCCGCAGAAGTAAGTTTTCTTGATTTCTTTTTTTTTTTTTTTTTTACGCCGTTTCAAGTTAAGCATTTCTAACGGTTCCAGTTTAAGAACTGACAAATGTACTTGAATGCTTATTTAGCACGTAGTACGACGAAGTGAGCTTAAAGACTTCAGACAATGAAAAATCTGCGCTTCAAGCTTGAAATCCGAGTAGTCTTCCGGCCAGCAAAACGATTAATCGTCAACGTCTTTAAGTAAGATCGTGGTATTTGAGTTTAGGTGTCTGTCGAAAAAACGTCCGAGAAAATGGTCGACAAAATAGGTGCTATCAAAATTTTGGAAACAAAGTCAGAAGCCAATTAGTGCAAGTAATTCTCCATTAAAAATGACTTGTGTCACACGAATATATTTTTCTTGTCAAAATTTTCAGTCAGTAGAAGAGTTTGGTCATAATATTGTAATGATTATATTATAATGACTAAATTTTGATAATAAAATGGTATTTACAGGGCACAAATTATTTTTAATGAGATGTGGAACTGTAGAAAATTTGGAACTATAAAAGTCTAAAAGTGTTTATGCATCTTTCGGTTCAATGATAATTCCACGATTTTCTTTGAATAGAATGTTCATATATGTACATATATTCAATAGTACATTAATTAATCTATCTACAGTGGCGCCTCGAAATTTGAACATAATCCATTCCAGAGACGATTCAATTTTTGAGTTCAATTTCCCCATAAGAAATAATATAAATTAAATTAATCCATCGTGGAATTCCAAAATTTGTCCAATATAAAAAATGTTAAGTGCCTATTTATATAAAATATTCTAAGTGTTTAAAGATTATACTAGTAATGCCAAAACAACAAACTAGTAATTAAAATTATTGAGAAACAGCTTCTACACCAATTTTGGTGGTTTTTTTTTTTTATCGTTAGACAATTGAATAACAAACGAGGGAATAAAATTTCATTTGTTGCTTGATACTCAACTCTTGGCCGAGGTTTGATTTTGCGATCGAGGATCCACTGTACTTTGAAATAAAATTTTGTAACATAACATTAGCCTTGAAGAACAAAATTACAGATCCATTTATACCGCCGATCTTTTTTCTAAGTTACGAATTATATTTGACAAATATTCTGGTTGCACCTATGACCAGTGACGTTTTGTTAGAATCGTAATGTCTACAGGGGAAAAGGAAGCAAAGTGTTGTATCTAATTATAAGTTACTTCACCGCGGAAGAGAAACTGTGATAATATCTGGGCTTTTCTGCGCGAAGTAAAATAGTACGTGGAGAGTATAAAATGCCATAATATAAAATAAATCGGTTCCGTAGCATTTGATTTTGTTACGAGGTAGTATCGTTAAGGAAATATTGTAAAACTGAAGGGGAAAGGAACTAAGGTATCGCTGAAGTCTTATTAGAAGAAGTTGAATAGAATAGCTCTGGAAGCAAAGAACCAAACGGCATCGTATACTTTCGTTTATCACGAATATTCATCATTATAATTATTTTTTTCTGAAACACGTGGCGACGATAATTTTGCAATAACAATATTATATACATGATGTACGTAAAACGTATTATACATGTGTTTATCAAGTATTCATTTGTATTCATTATTAATATGATCTATAAAACGATAAGTTGCTTTTATCGATTCAATAACGATTGTTTAATCGATTTGAAGAAAAAACAAAATATATATTAAAAGTGAAAAATCATTTTTTTGAACAATTTACGACAAGTACTTAATGAACACATCGTGTAATTTACGTACTTTTTTTTTTTATTATACAACGCTGTAAAAATTGCATGTATGTTTATTATATACATGACAGATAATTACTTTTAATTTAATGGAAATTTCTTGTTATATGAATTTTATGTAATAAGATCTCTGGTATCTCATCGCCGTGAAATCGTTTCAATAAATAGAGGTCCATTGTTCCTATGTTTATTATCATATTCGTGTCCAAAATTTATGTATAAGTTCGCCTTAGGTATAGTTAATCTCAGTATCTTCAGTTCTCTTATTTACTTTATTGAAATAGTATAGCATTGAAATTTTCTTCTTTATGTTAGCTTCTTTATTCTCAGTTTTATAACAAAAGATTTACCTTTTGTGATGCGTCTTTTTATTAATTATTTGCTTTTACATTTGTTGCAATAAATTTGCGACAAATGTTGTTATAAGATTCTTGTATGCTTTTATCATACGATAGTTTTAATACTTGAAACATTTAGACTCGAGTTAATTTTATTTATCTAGAATATGATAGTATTAATTTCATTCTGGGTGAGTCACAGTTTAACTATTGTTTTATTAAAATGAAACTTCATATATTTTTAACGAGTACGTACATTTTTACAATCGCTGCTTAATGAAACAAGAAACTATTTACATTTATGTAAATTATTGATTGTGTATTTTATACTTATATTCCAATGACATATAGCAATTATTTTGCATTATTTCCACGTCTAGGTTTTATATTAAGACTCTCAATTTACGTTCAATATACATATATAGTTTGTGTATTATGACAATAAAAATAACTTGTATTTTTACATTTTAAATCAAATTTCTTTGATAAATGATAATTATTATCATTTATCGCGTTCAACAGATTATAATTATATTAGGAAAGCACAATAATTTAAATTCATAAAGTAAAATACTAGATTTTTCTATGAATCCGATGAAATCATTGCAAATGTTTTTTTTTTCTCAACGCATCGATACTTAAAATTCGACATTCGATCGTTTTTGATTTTATTAATCACGATAAAACATTTGATCAGTCTTCTAAAAATTGACAAGTACGAAATTTCAAACAATGCATTTTCCTTTCTTCGATTTTCTTTTCCGACAAAAACTTTCTTTCAGTTAATAATTCTTTCAACTGCAAATAACGAGCATAACCGAGATAAACGTTATTGGTCGTGAAACACATGTATTTTATTCCATTCTACAAAAACCTGAAGAACGTTTACTTGCGTGTATTCGTTTCTTTTATTTGTCCGTGATCATTCTATCTTTCTCGGTCGCATTCTTTGTCTTATTTTCCTCTTCGATTTTTACAATTGGCTTCGTCGTTAATTTCTGCAGTTCTTGTCCATTCTCTTTGTTTGACTTACCATACTTGTTCCACGGTTGTTCCTTCGATGTTCCGAACATCAAGTAGACGACGGTCCCGACGAAAGTATTAATAGCAGCTATGATGAAAACTAATCGCCACTGCGATACGGTTTGCTGGAGAAAATAATTATGTTAATTAATGATAAATTGTAATTATGAAATAACGACGAAATAATAGACAAAACGATATTGTTTCGAAATTTTGAACAATTTCACTATCAACTAACCAAGAAATCGTTTCTGTTTGTATAATATTTGTATATGTAATATTTTGCAGTACGAAATTTTAAACAATGCTCAAAATCATCCTTGACGATTGTTTTTAGTGTTCTCATTGCATTTGTACTTACATTATCGTGCGTTAAAATACCAACGATCGCCGGTGAAATGAATCCACAGGCTATTACTATCATTCCGCAATAACCAAGAAGAATACTAGCATAATTCGGACTCAAATCTACGAAAGTCGCTAAGGGACCAGCGGCAACCGCGCCATTTACAGTTGTTCCTGCCATCATGAAGATCACTGCAAGCGTTGGATGACATCCGCTATAGCCCAGAGCCAAGATGAAGATCCCTTGCAAACCAGTGCATACGAACATAGCAATTTTTCTAACATTGGTCAAACTCATCTTGTTGGTACGTATGAGCCAATCGCTCATAATTGAGTAATAATACGAGAAAATCATTCTGAGTAGGTGCGGCAATCCAGACAGAAGTCCAGTCTGTAAATAAATTTTCATTGACGATTAATTGATATACTGAGGATGTTAGTAGAGATTTCGTTTCATCTTCTGTATATCGATGTATATTAAACTTTACAGAATCGATTTTCGAAATAATGATTTTCTTTATCATTATAATATGTATGTAATGATTATAATATGATAACCATTATATATATGTATATATAAGCTATACGAGTGTGTAGAATACAAAATTACTATAGTAGTAATAATTATTAATAAATAGTAGAATTTTGAACATCTTTAACCCTTTAAAGTATTTAGAGTTCCAATAAATTATAATAAATTTGCAATTTTTGCAGCAGGCTATATTTTCTAATTGTTTTAACAAACTGTGTTTCAGCTAAAAATGACAGTAAAGAAAGAAAGAACAAGAAACTCTGGAAGAAATTATTTTTCACAAGATATATTTTTACCGCATTGATATCCCATCCATGTATGAAGTTGAAGTAAGTTGGTGCTTGAGTCATTAAGGTGAGAAAACCCCATGCTCCACCCCATTGCGATATGATTGTAATCCAAACTGGACCTGATGTTAATATTTCTTTCCAAGGTATGGCAGTTTGTTCTTCGTCGACTGAATCACCAAGATGATCCAAAATATATTTTTTTTCATCGTCGGATATCCGAGGATGTTGCTGAGGTGAATCGTGTATGAGGAACAGCCAGAAGCAGTACCTTCGAAATGATTCTTTACATCAACATCTGTTTCTTGCGGTAAAAAACATGATAAACTGCGGAATTTTAATATTTTAAAGATATTATTTTCAGTTAAAAAGACGTCATGATCATTACCAGATGACACCAAGTAACGAAGTTACGTAAAACGCTGCACCCCAGCCGAATGTACTGCTGACAATTGCACAGAGGGGGTAAGTTATAGCAGCACCTACAGAACTACCTGAAAAGTAACATATTTAGAAACCTGTCGTAATTTAATTCACTAATCACTAGCAATTCTCGGATATGAATCACTTGATTATTATGATATATATAAATATATATGATACATTATATAATCAAATATAATATGACATAAAACAAATTATTAATGCTATAATCTCAAAATGTAGAAAAAGTGTAGCTCAATCCACTTTTTTTCTCAGTGTCTTAATTATGATTATCAATTAAGATTATTTTAGATTTAATAATTGAAATTAGTTGATACTACAATTATATACGGGATATATAAATAATTTTGATATAAATCAAAGGAGATGGTTTTTCGCATTAAAGTAAAACAAAAAACCAGACCAGATATAATAATAATTTTTAGTAGAAAGTTTTGTTTTCAAAAAAATCAACGAAAAAATTTTCACGTTTTCATTACTTAAAAGTTACGTTTTCATCGTAACGTTGAAATTCTTCAAGCATCTTTCTTACAAGGTAGTAGATATTTTATGCAAGTTGCTTTAAATTAAAAACATATATAATATCCGTAGTTATTGAACGTATGTGTAAAATCATTGTAGATATTTTACCCAAATAGGAACTGACAAATCTGCTTCTCTCATTCTGAGGGATCCATTTGGCAGTCATGTCATGCATAGAAGGCCATACAACACCCTAGACAAATATCTTTAGTTAAATTTTTCATTTGAATGACAAATAAGTTTGAAAATTATAGAAATGTTTAGTTGTAATAGTTCGAACTTCTTTGTATGAACATTATCCATGAAAAAATTAAAATATAGCTCACCGCGAACAGACCCTGAAGAACTCGTAACGCCACAAGAGCATACAGATGATAATGTGTCATAAGTGGGATGAAGAAGCCAAAAAGCGTTGTTAGAAAGTTTCCTAAACCGTAAACAAGTTTTGTGCCATAACGTCTTGCTAAAAGACCTCCAGGAAGTTGCGTTGTCCAATGCAACCAGTAGTAAGCTCCTAAAATTAAGCCTTGCTGACTCTCGCTCCAAAGAAACCGATCCTCGTACTAAGAACAATTTTGAAACCCAATAATATCATTAGAACTAGGATTAGGACATTAGCATTTTAATTTCAATACAATCTATCAAAACTATAGAAAGTGAACTAAACTTTTAAATTTATTAATGACCAAAACTTGGATAAAAGTACTTTTATCTTTTTACTAAACAATGGCTGCTTATTTTCGAATAAATGATACTTTGAAATGATGCAATTAGCTTCTTTTAAAAATTTTATTTTGGAAAGAAACCATAAATCAGAAAATTCATAATCCTTTATTAATCTCTTTAATTAAGGGCAATGAACATCTTTACACGAAAAATTACAACTTTTAAAATAAACCATTGAACCGTTTAAACATCTTATTTTATTTTGGCCATAGAATAATAGATAATTTATTTCAAAAGCTTGGAATGTGATTATTATTCCAAGAGTATATTATTTTACATTTTATACATTATTTACATTTTATATATCGTTAGATAAAAGTTACGTTTGCAGTAGTATATTCTACAATATTTATTTATATTTAAATTTTAAAAGCAATTTTAAAATCTCTATTTTTTTGTTTTGTGGCGTTAATCAATTTGGCAAATGAACAGCTTGCATGTATTAAAATATACGTACGTTAACATCTTGTTCCGAAATTGGTGGAGTAGGTGTTGTTTTGTTATAACTATCGTATGTTCTGTTGTACGACTGCAGATTTTCGATGCATTGAGAACTTGTCGATATCTTTGCACGAGGCATTACCATCGCTACTATCGTCAGGTTCAGGTTGATCCTCAGCATGTAATTTACAGCGAAACCGCAGAAAACAAGATACCAAAGCACGTCCCGGCATGATAACCATTCCTTTTCTTGAATGCGTTGAATCAATCATAATAATTTATTTGAACGTGTTCTTTTTTAATGAAATTTCGTTGCTATTGATTTCTTGATATTATAGCATTGAATAATCATTAGACTATGAATTTTTATGCATTTATCGAAAATTTAAAGATACAAAATATAGAACAGAAAAGTATATAAATATTCAAAGTATTAATATTTAATAGATGAATCAAATATTTTTTGACTAGGTCCTAATTTTTGAATTAACTTCACAAAGATATAATTTTACATACATATCCGTAGTCTAATAATTATTTTAAAATTCAGATTTGCAATTTCTGTATATTTTTTTTAGATTTGTTTGAAACTTGACTAATATAATTATGATAGTCTTATTACAGTGTTAATGAAATATCAAAATGTTTTATATAATATACATAATATATTCATAAGAAATAATATTATTTTAATTCTTATAATTAAAATCCTATAATTAAATTCCTATAAAATTATTTTAATTTCTATAATTGTTCCAATATTTTTGTGACCAATTGTATCTATTAGCTGTATACACATTAAAAATTATGTTTTTATCAATTTTAAAGCAGAATGAAATAAGTATTAAAAAAAAAATGAAGTAAAGGAAAGTATCTATAATTTATTGACATTTTTATTGAAAGTATTTTATTGCTTCTAGTATAAAGAGTTTTTTTTTTATATGAAGGAAGAATGACACAATATTCAAATCAAAAATATGTAAAATAAGTTTTATTTATAATGTTATCTTACTTCAAGGTAAAAGATATGCATTCCAAGTCAAGAGTCAATCATTTCATTGATTCAGTTACATCAGAAGTACTCGTACGACGATGAAACATAAGAATAAAATGAAGAACTCTTTTGACAATAATGTATAATAACACTGATATCACATGAAATTCTCAGTCAACGTTCATGAGTGGTAAGTTTTTCAGCTATAGATAATAAAATTTGTAATCACAGTGGAATCATAGTTAACATTTTGATATTTTTTGATATGCAAAGATATAATATCTGAAATCATGTACAAGTTATCGCTTCCATATCAACATCTAACATATTCTACATTTTCATGGTTACGTAATTTCATGGAAAGAAAATATGTGATCTAGAAATTGGAAGGATTATAAAAAAAAAGGATTTTTTTTCGATATGTTTCAATTAAAGATTATAGGAAATAATCTTAAGGAATGATAACTGATTTCAATATTGCTAAATGAATGATTAACGATATGAAGTGTGCGATACCAGGGCTGTGCGAGAACTCGAAAATATCGGGAACCAACCCGATGGTCGGGACGAGCCTGGAAGAAGTCGAGATTCCCGAAAATTTCAAGAAAACCCGGCTACCGTTTCTCAAACTAGTCTACAGTGCTGTATAGCAGCCTACAAAATATGTAAATACACAGTTCAATTTCTTCTGTCAGTGAAGTTATTGGAAACACGGATTCTAAGAATCGTATGACCTGATGTATACAAACGTGTGACTGCGTGCTTAGTACTTGGACATTATGTACGCTGTCGAGCAGTATCGCTGAGAAATTCGGGAAGCTCAGACGTATATTTCAAAATCTGTGTGCATTTAATAAAGATTGAAAATCTTAAAAAAAAATGTCGAGTGATAGTGAGAGTGAAGTTGTGGTAGCAGAAAGTAGTGCAGAAGATGTTGTGCAAGGGAAGAAGGTTTGGGAACATTTTCAAGAAAAAGATGATACAAAGGCGGAATGCACACATTGTCACCATGAATTTAAAACTAAGTATGCAGATACTGCTGGTTTACATTTGAGGCGTATGCATCCAAACATAAGTATATGTATATCTAATTAAATCATGGAGTTGGGGATTTCATGACAAAATTGTTTTCACATAATAAGTCAAAATATTCATCATACATATACATCTCCCTCAAGATATAATTCTTTTTGTAATTTCCTAATTATTGCAACATTACGTTATCCAAAAAAAGAGACAGAAAATTTAATAAGAATTATTTTGCTATTTCTCAATCGTACCAATATCCAGTCGCAGAAGCTGCGATCTCTTCCTTTTTCAATTTCACTCGCATATATACATATTTCAATTACGCGATACGCGACAATCTTCGCGTTGTTTAATCATGCATTGCACTCGCGTTTGCGATTTCTCGCTGGGAAACTTTTACTTACTGTTGGCCATCTCGTTGATCCCTTTTTCCACGAGTAATACGATAAGTACTCCGCTGATTGATCGAATCAAGGGCTCGTTGTTGCACGCGATGCCTTCCGTGCTAGACACGTGTCAACGTACGTCGTGAAAAATTTCCAGGATCATTAATGTCCTCGTTCTATGTCGACGAGAAATAGCTTTTATTCCGTGTCGATCAATTCTAATCACTCGGCAAAAGAGAAAAACGTGAGGTATCGTTTTTCGAAGATCCGCTATGTATGTATATGTTCCCCGTCCTTGTAATAGTTACTCACAGGAATATTATCCTTTGACAATTTTTCGAAGATCCGCTATGTATGTATATGTTCCCCGTCCTTTGTAACAGTTACTCACAGGAATATTATCCTTTGATAAATTTTGTTCGATGTCTGGCGTACCTATTGAGTGTATGTTAATCAGCTAGTGTCGCGGAGAATACTGCATGATTGTTCTTCGGTTATGATCACCCGTACCCTGACGAATCTCCCTGCGAACCTCCACCCGTACAGAAATAGTCGCGATAACGAAAATTACGTTGCGCTTTCGTACGTTTGTTTCGAATCCCAAGCTTTTTCGTCTCTTTGCCTCGCCGACGAGACAAACGTTTGTTATTTGTCGATCGTTAATTTATAATTATGGACGAAGCGTGCCAGTAAATCGGTCGTACGGCGAGATATTAGTCCGTTTCTGAAACACAATGAGGATACTGAATGTTCTGTTGTCTGTAGAGATCGAATGACTTCTTTGATTTGAGATGACGCTCTTGGGGATCGAGTAAATTTGGATTGGATTATATTTTTGTTCCTTATTATAAAATATGATTTCGTTTAACAACTTGAATCATTTTGCACGTTACGATACATTACCATATACGTAAGATGGATTGTGTTTCAATATATGCACAACTATCACTGTAGGTCGCAATACAGCAACAAAGATTTATAACTGGTGTTACGCACAGACGATCTTTGGGTTTATAAATCATTGGTATCGTGAATTTACTGATTAGTGAATAATAATACCATATTTCACTAATGATACAGTTATTGAATTTTGAAATATATTCACTTCATTTTAATGAAACAATTCTATCAAATTAATTATATAAAAAAATAACGTTCTGCAAACTCGATATAATTCTAAAGTCTAATAAAATCCTAGAGGAATTTTACATTCATTTTCTATATACATATTAAGTCACGAATTGTTTTTTTTATTTTTAATGAAGTTAGTTGAAATTAAAATAAATTGAAGTCGTCTAGTTTGTTTTAAATTAAACAAAACATATAAAAATTAACAGTAGTTAATTGTTAGGTTTCACAATATTATTATGTCTACAAACTCTAAAATCATTTTCGAACCTAAATTTTACTTCTTACCTATACGTTTTAACGAAAGAGAAGAAAACGTTTTGTTAATAAAAATGACACGTCTACCGTCACGACTAGCAATTAGCATTGAAGTATTTATTACCCAGTAATATTTTTGTTGTTTCAGTTTTTTAATTCATGTATAAATTTAACCAAATATTTAATTTGCCGTGTAAATATTTAATTTTTCAAGACAAATTGTCCAAAAACTTTTTTCGGTGAAAAAATATGACAGTAAAATTAATTAAGAAAAACATTGGAGTATGCTTTACGTCACTATGATTTATTAGGAATGTATTTCACACGTCCTTGTTATTTTCAGAAATTCTTTGTCCATTTTTATGTTATAACATCAACATTATTCTGTAGTATTATTAGAATTTTACTGATGATTTTAATTATATACATACGTATAATAAATAAGTAATAAAATAAAATAAGTAAATGAATATTTATAGGTAAATATTAGTAAATCATGAGTAAAGTTTACGAACATTTGTATCATTTTATTAATGAATATTGTTAAATGAATCGTTTAATAAATTTAGTTTATAGACATTATTGAAAAAAGGAATTATCTAATCGTTCTCCAACGCAAATTTATTTTTAAATTTTTATATTTTTATTATTAAATTAATAAAATTGTACAACGGGAGAAAATTCCTCCTAGTAAAAAATTTTGCCACAAAAGAATTAATTTTATTTGATAGATCGTATTAGCATCTTTCTACATGACTGACATAATAAAGTCATCGTAACTACACTATAAATAACTATAATTAATGAATTCAAATTAAATTCAATAACAGCATTAATTCAAATGCTGTTGATCATCCTGTTGAGTTTTCGTTATATGCTTGAAGATACCATGGGGTGAAGTTTGTAGCAAACTATATTAAATGCATAGTAATTCCTTATCACAAAGTAATCGCACCTGCGATAACAGTTAATGCTATATGTACTTCAAACATGCAAGGTATTTCGTAATTGCCTATTATGGCGTCTTAAATCTTATTTTCGATTTTGAAAATATGTAGAATTTTTTCTTTTTTTTTCTTTCTTGATAAATTAGCATATACTTTATGTTACGTTATCTTTTATTAATCGTGGATTTTATGTAAATTTACATTTTTGTGGAAATAATTAAGAAAGTAGGATCTGGGCAGAGATTTGGTTCATCTATTAAATATTATAGCAGGTTTTATAATTGTATTTTAAATATTTTATAGGTTTTTGTGCATTATAATTAAACAAATAGAGTTTATCTCATCTGTTGAATATTATAACAGAATTTGCATTTAAATTTGTATTTATATTTATGTATTTTATATATTTATATCTGTATTTATATTTAAAGAGATTTATATTGTGTGTTACGTACATTTTAATTAAAAATGAGGGCCTCGGATGTTTGTTTCGTCTATCAAATATCATAATAGACATTGTATATATTGGGCATTTTATATATTTTTGTATAAAATTATTATACGCATTCTATGTATTTTTATTTTAAAGCGATTTCTAAGTATATATACTTAGTAATTTTATATCTAAATGTTAAAGTTCATGTTTGTTTTGTACATTAAATTCTAGCATTCTGATAATGTTACCCACTTGGTATCGAAAATGTTTCTTATCGATCGGTTCTGATTTTTAATTTATTACATAATATGAGAAAATCCGGTCTAAAAAGAAATTTTGACATAAAAGATACTTTATCTTGAAAGGATTATCGATAAAGAAGATAAAGAAAAAAATCACCGTTATAAATAGTAACAAACTCTTACATAAATTATTTATTTGATGTAGAAATTGGTAGATTAAGTGAAATGTAACGTAAGAGATTTTCATTGAGAGATGTATGCATTATATCTTCGAATATTACATTTGTTTTATTATTATATTATTCTTATTACATTGGATCATTTAGATCCGAAAGAATAACAAATCAATGAAAACTGTATATGTAATAGGATAAGAAGTTATCCCAAATGAAGTAAGGATATATTAACAATAAAAATAAAATGAACTAATAATACGTAATATAAAATATCCAGAGTACAATGTTATTTACATGTAATACACAAAATAATTTTTAACTAAAATTTTATCTTTTAACTTGTATTTTCAAATATATGAATTTTGAATGAAGATTCAAAGTCTAATAATAAGAATGCAATTTTTTCAAAACTACTTTATTAATTACAAATAAATGATATAATTAATTTTTGATTAATTACAAGTAAATTATATAATTAACTTTTGAAAATAACATTTTTGAATATTTGAGAATAATTCTTCATTTCTTTAGTGTATTCGCATTCTTTCTTTTTTTATTTTAATATTGTTCTCCTTTAACATGAACCGTGTTGCATTTATTATGCAAATATTTTATTTAATAGATGATAGATAAAATATATATTTTTTTATGTTTATAGTATTGGTAATAATATCAATATATTATACATATACCGATAGTATGATACTTTTACTGTTTTACGTAATCGTGATTATTGGTTAGTGAATTAATCGTAGTATAGAATGTAGTTGCTGGGTGTAATTTTCCTTCTGTCGCAACACGTATATATAGTGAAACGTAGCATTTTTCTTTTAACATTCCTAGAATAGAAACATGATTACGATAATTACGTGTAATCAGAGCTGTATTTCATGAATCGTAAATTTTTCATTTTTTAATTATTTGTTCTATGTAAATTTCCAGTTCTGCCTCATTAGAAATTTCAACTCTTATTTATGATGTTTCATTTAATAATGGTAACATCTGAATTAGTTTCTTTGATCTCCATTATTTCTCCAAGCTTTGATACGCAATAAAATGTCATTAAAATTCATAAAGACATTGAATTTTCATCACACGTCTTCTCTTCTTTCGAACATATGTATACGTTTATTTTTGCGTCGCAAATTAGCCACTTATTACACAACTTTCTGTGATTTGTCGCTCAACTATAGCTCAACAGCATTAACAAACCATTTCCTTGTATTTTCTTATTCGATGCATGTGGTAATAGAATATTTCTACCGTTTATAATGCAGTTTTAGTTATATAGAAATTTATCGTATTTAATAATAATAGTTTTCATTTTCCATTTTATTTTATTAAATGAAACCGTTGTTTTCCAAGCTATTTATATTTGAATAGCCAATAATTTTAGTGATAAGTGATTTACCAATTTGAAAAGAAACGAAAGAATTTGTCTTGTAAGTCATATGTTTTTCCATTTATCATATCATTGAAGCAAACAACTAAAAACAACTAAAGTTATGATGTACCGAATTTCTTCCATCATGCTTTCTGTATGATTAATTAGAGTAGATATTTTTTGCAGCAATGAATAAAGATATCTTGTTACTACATTACGAAAGAACGCACTATAATATAACATTGCACTATAATAATTTATTCAAATATCTAATACGTACATACTTGACAGTATCAATCAATTAAGTGGGCTATCTAATGCAATTACTTTACGCTAGCCGTATCGATACGCTTATGTCGAACGCTCGTTATTTAATTGTTCAACATTGATTGCTTCATTTTTTTTTTTTTTTTTAATGCACATAAACTCCTTGCATCTTGTACAGTTTTATCAGATTCATTGGCGTTATATTAAAAAAAAATAAAAACAAAAAGAAATGTATCGTTTTATCGACGAGTTGATGAAATTTCGTTGACTCCTTGAGTCATCAGCATTCTACGCACGCCGCCGGTTATATTTCTAGAAGAGAAACGTGTGGATACGCGTGCCACAGGATGCATATAGTATGAATATAACGCGTGTCAACCTGACACTGATTTTATACTCGTCGTGATTTCATCAGAAGCGGTTAGTCCACGTCCCACATTGACAATGAAGCAAAATTTAGATAAAACAAGGACAGGTGAATCGGTTGGAAAATTCGTACAGGATGAAGTAATATTGAACGATACTTTTTAAAAAAATATTATAAACAAATATATATATGTTATAAATATATTGGATGTAGAAATTAATAGATGTGCGATTTTCAGATAAACTTGCCACTTTGTTTGTTGATATTCCTCTTGGATCGTTTCGATAGGAATTCTTTTTTGAGTCATTCGATGGTGTATAGAGATGCAAGATTTGAGAGTAGTTTTTATTTAATAATCGTTCACGTTTTCTGAATTTTCAATTTTTAAATTTTTAGACACATTTGGATTACTCTTGGAAAAATCTCTGGTTGAAAATCAGAATGAATATTTATATTGTTTTTTTTTTTTTAACAATCCACAGCAGGCTAATAATAAAATTGATGAATGAATATAAAAGAACTTCTTCTGTTATATTTTTTCTGTTTCCGTTAATGCGACTCATTCGTTTTCATTCATTTAATTTATTTTATTAGTAAATATAACCAACAATTAATCGTGAATTATTATAAATTTCTGAATTTGAATAATAGATTTTATAAAAAGATGAATCAATTGATATTGATTGATTCTTTGAGCTTTATTTCATCTATTTACCATATCTCTTATCTTCTGCTTAAACGACATTTTAAATAAATTATTATGCATTACATATTATAGATTATTATTAAATAAATTATGCATTATTAAATTGAAAAAAGAATTTATAAAAATTGTTGTTCTCATTATATTTGAATATTACTATTAAACAAAAATATGTTTATTTTATGTATTCTAAAATTTAAGTATTCAGTCTTTGGGCAACATTGTGAGAATTCTTTGTAAATTATACTCATTTAAAAAAGTTTAGAAGAGTACCAGATACATCGAGTCGTCGGATTGACTAATATTACATTTTTATTAGTTTCCTAATGAAGTTTATATTCCATTTGATAAATGGAAAGTGTTATTTATCAGAAATTCATAAATTTATAAATTATAAATTTATAATTGGAAGCATTATACTTCACTCTAGATAGACATTCTGATGAATTATTTCTTTAGTAATCTAATTGTAAGTAGATTAGATTGTAAAATATTATAGACTAGTGAAGAATGAGGTGAAGAGTAAATTTTCTTCACATTACATTTCATCTTTCTAGAATTATAATTTCCTGTAAATTTCAATTGTATAAAAATTCGTGTAACATCCTCAGATATATTTCCAAAAGCATTTTCTAAATTTCATTCAGTCTTTACATTCACACGCGACTTTTATATAATAAAACTTCAAACATGTTATTTTCTACCATTCATTCAACATTTCTGTCGACGCTTGGATCAATTTTTCTATCTTTTGTTTTATTTGCAAATAAAATTTTCACAATGTTAACAATTTCAAAGATCAGTTGTCTAACTCCGTATCTCCTGTTTCTTTATTTATTTATTTTTGATACACGCGTGACAAGTTGCAAGCGTGCTTCTAGCAAGAAATTGCCACATTTACGTAAGCCAGCGATGATCGGAGGGGAAGCTGGTTGTTGCATCTAGCAGCTTGCTTTCGGGTGGACAGTCTTAATTCAGCTTCTGTACGATCCGCCTCGTCATTAGTTTTCCTCTGGTGCATCGTGCCTTCAGTGACGTTTTCTCTGTTTTTTTGCCTTTCTCCTCGTCTCCGTTCCGCTCCGTTCCCCCAAACGTTTATCGTCACACGTATAATTCGCGGTGCCGAGGCTGCACAGGTCTGTTATTGCCCCTTTATCGCGAGTCATTCACGAACGAAAAAGGGAAAGCAACGACCAGTATTAAGATAATATATTCGTACATGGTATAATATATACGACAAAGATTTCATTTAGTTTGTTTACTTCGTTTGCAACCGTTTACGAGTTTGTTTCTCGTCGATACCTCGAGCGATACCTGTTGGACCACGAGAGATCGATCGATCGATTCGCACGATTCTAAGCAGTGTACGTAGTCTCTTTAATTCCTCTAATTTATATTTTATTTCGTATGTTTTGCAACATCCTTCGTTTCACGGTAATTTGTTTAATCTTGCTGTCGATCGTCAAATGTTTATATCTCAGTCTTACGCTCATTGTCAGTTTAGCAAACAGAGAAAGGCTTCTAATATCTTAAAAAGAGATGTTTGGAATAAAATTTAATCGAAGGCTCGTGAAATGAAATTGCGTTGGAATTTCTCATTTGTCGTTTGAACGTGTGATATTTTTTTAATTTTACAGATATATAAGTGGGTCGAAAATGAACGTGACAGGGTTAATGTTCGTGTCAACTTGAAATAGCGGTTGCGTCAGATTTTGTTGGGGTCAGGTTTAACAGATAATTAGGTTTATTTATTTCTTCGGAACACTTTTATCTTTTTCGAAACACAGACCAATGGTCTTTACTTATCGTTATTGGGATGCGGATTTTTATGCAATTGTTAGAATTTTCACGAAGAAAGGGAGAAATTTAACAAGCCTAATTCCTGGCGAAGATAAAATTGCATCAGCTTTTTTTATTTCTTTAATATTGTAGCGATGGAATTCGCACACCAAGGGTTAGAAAAATTAATAATCTATTTAACGTAACAATTGAATATATGTATAAAAATATATTCAAATACGCTGTCGTTCAAAATTTTGGAGCAGTTTCTTTTTTTAAATATAGAATGTAACGTTAATCGTTTTATTTTGTACAGATTGATAAAAATAATTGATAAAATAAAAAGCAGTCACGAAAGAAAAATACGAGTAATCGTTATATTCTTAAAATTTTTGTGAATTTGTGTTGTTTTGCTCGGTGCGTATGAATGGAACGTTGAACTTCGGTTAAATTGCATTATTTTTAAATTTGTTTTTATACATGATAATTTTTGATGATAATTACATACATATATCCTACATTTTCTTACAATTCTTAAATGGTCTCGTAACACAAATGACCACTGTGATTTACATTATATTACAAAATTTAAGGTATTCAATTTTATTTTGTCTTTTATATTTTCTCTATAATAAAAATTAGAAACAAAATTTTTTAAATTAAGTAACGTCAAACTTAAATTTTTGTGGTTTTCAACGTTCAGTGATACCAGTTCAGGGGTTAGTGCATAGATTCAAACTTTTTGAAACCACCACATGGTTCCTTACCACCATAAAATATCGTGATGTTGTTATTTGCAAAGGATTGAAAGAACCAAAAATTTAGAGAATGCATTTAACTCTGGATTAATATAGAGTTAATGTAATGTTCACTTTGCAATTTCAATCAATTTATATTCAATTTATATTCATGTTATTTTTTAATATTGAAGAAGATTTAAAAGAAGATTTCAAGGAATCGAAGTTTAATATTCTCTCATCATTATATCTTTCATCGACATACAAACGTAGCAAATGAATTAAGCAGTTAATCATTTGTAAATTTAAATCTCAAATTTCGTTGACTTTTACGTAGTAATTGGAACAATAATTTTTTCTCAATGTTTTAAGTGCTTTGTATTAAAATATGTATATTATACGTAATTGATATATATTAATGCTCTTTGTTTTGTAAGTTTTATAAGTTTCTTTTAAAAGGATTCTTGAAAGGATGTAAAATTTTTAATATGAAAAAAATCATTGTAAATAATCGGAATGAGTTTAGGAATTTCATTAGTGTATTTCATTTCTAAATTTTAATTTGTAATTAATACATATGTAAATAATAAACGAATAATGTTATCAAGTCAAGACGTGTGGAGATATAAAATTTAAAGTCGCAATAAAAAAGATGAAATAACGAAATATCTCGATCGTGAGTCCTTTTATGATAGTTTAAAAATGTAGATTAATATCGTTCTGTAATAATTTAAAGTTTATCAATGTTATAATTTTTAAAATATTCAATGGAAGATATCAGTAAAAATATTATCTGTGTAAATATAAATATCAGACGGTACACTATCATAATACATATATATAATACATATACATATATTTGCAAGTTAAGCATTTTTTGAAATTTGTACTCTAAAAAATAAACATATTTTTTAACCTAAAATTACTACAATAGTTTTAATTACTACAATTTCGTCATATATGCACACTGTGGCATCTATTTCATCATTTTTCGATGCTACTTTAAAATCAAATGATAATTGTCTAATCTCACATTCGTTTCATCATATTTATTCTCTGAAGTGACACTAGCGTAACATATGATAAAGAAAAAGACTATTACATTTATGTACACAAACAACAAAATGAATTATCTATTTATGTTAATAAAAAACTTTCAAATACAGTTTAATTTTATACTTTTTGTTTTATTAATTATACAATTGCATTATATTTTATTCATTCGAATTGTTGAAGCATTTGTTGCAGATCTGTGCAATTTTATATATTATTTTATATTAGTTTGGAATATTAGGAATAAAATAAAAAGGATATTTTATTCTACCTTGTTAAATAAAGTTGCAGTTTGTTAAAAAAGGATTTAACAGAAATAAAAGTTTCAATGCTGCGGTTACAAAAGAAAGATTAACATTAAAACTCTCGCTATTCTTGCTAGATCTATGCTCGATGGCGACTCGAAATATGTACTTTCTATCTCGAACCGTACTCTCTGAGGTCTTGCTAATTTCTGTGCTTTGCCTTCTCGAAGCCTTCATCCTTTGTTCATATACAACCTAATATTTTAAGTCCTAAGGCAATTAAAAACAAATATTCCCAGCCTTAACCTTCGCTCTAAGCATCTTGAGTGACACTCCATTGGCGACAATTGTCTCATTGTTGGACACTGGAGAAAGTGACACTCCACTGGCGACAATTGTCTCATTGTTGGACACTGGAGAAAGTTTCAGGCCTTTTCCGAAAATATTCCATCCCACACATACATACATATATCATATCTTATGTTACAAATTCATATTTTTACGAATGTAATTGAAAAAAATGGGATTCAGGTAGAATATTGTTGTACGAAACATTATAATAAATATTATAATAAATATACTTCTGACATTTTATATGTATTTGGATATTTCACATTCTATATATTTTATATAAGTTTTATATTATTATAATGTTACATCTCATATATTATTAGAATTCTACATATTATCATTGTGCAATCTTGTACATATAGTTGCACATATATTCCATGCAATTTCCCAACTTTAATTTTCTCATAAATGCATAAAAATCTGCGGTCTAATAATCACTTTATCACTTGAACATTAACATCGAGAAATTTGGTAAAAGGTATCGCGAGTTACATACTGGTATGTAGTCACTAAATTATACACTAGTTAACTACGCAACAGTTCTACGACAGATATTTTCCAAATTATCGCAGAAATAAAAATCCAATACCATTTCACACATCCTACTTTACCAGTTATGAGTTATGCAAAACATACTTGTACTTGTAAAACATCTAATTACGACCAGTGGAAATTGAAAGTTATCCACCGTCTTGTTGCCTTTGATTTTTCCATAGATTTCAAGGAATTTCCTGTTGAAAATATGCCGAGCAGCAAGACCAGAATCGCTATAATTGGTGGTGGTGTAGCTGGACTAGTGGTAGCTCGCCATACAGCCGCCAAATTGGACACTTATAGTCTCACGTTGTTCGAGCAAACCGATCAAGTCGGTGGAACATGGATTTACACCGATGAAACCGATATTGACAAACATGGATTACCAATTCATAGTAGTATGTACAAGAATCTAAGGTTAGTGTGAAATTTCATTCGACATTTCAGTTCACTAGTTTTCTCTCGTACACGGTGTAATAGTGATTTCATTTTCAATTTATATTGATTGTAAAATTAACTTTATACTTAAACTTATGCCATGAATTTGGACATCAAGTTTGAATTTATAATAAGTGGGTGTGGGTTCAAATTTCAATTTAATTATAAATTTCATTTTATGATACTTCGTTCAAGTGGTATTAAGTAATATTATAAAGAAATTAACTATTAAGTTTTTCACGAAATTATGACAGTTCCAAATATTGACAATTTTAAGTAACGTTCACTTAAAAAGACGTAGAAAGAGTAGAAAGTTTTAAAATGCAGTTGGAAGTTTTTATATTTTTAGGGGTGAAAAATGAATGAAAAATAAATAGAGTAATTACCAAATAACCGATAACTGAAATGTGAATTTCTATGTGAATTCATATTTCTTTGAATGTAATTAAATCTTGACAGAAAATTGTTTTATATTACAAAATATGAAAAACACTGTGCTTTGAATATTTCATGTCCTTTTATATTACGTGAACTATATGCAATTTTGCACTTTAAAATTTCCCATAAATTTGCGGTAATTATAATTATAATTAATGATAATTCACAACGAGTAATACAATGCATATACAATGGAGAAAATTGTTAAATGTATAATAAAACATTAATCTAAATTGAATTGCTAATTTGAATAATTATGCTTCACATTCTTTCATATTATTATTGCTTCAGATAATTAAGCAATAATAATACATGAAATTGCGTCATTATCTTAGAAAAATATAAACGAACAATAAATCACAATAATATTGGCTAATTTGAATAGTTATACTTTATTCTCTTTTATCCTCTTTTATCCTCTTTCCTTAATATACATACGTTTTAGAAATTCACAAACACAGAATTACATGCTATCTTTACGTATTACATTCAACACAGAATTACATACTATCTTTACGTATTACATTCTAAAATTTTCTCACTTTACATAACAAAATTATTACGAAATTATAAATTGAATTATTACTTACGAAAGAAATTTCATAATTGAATGTGAACGCGTATAAATACTTTTCATAATTTGGATGATTTGATTAAGCGACACAAATAGAATGATCAGTAACTTTTATTTTCATGACACTTAGACGATAGTGATAGTTCTAGATGATTTAATCGCGATAAACTCTATTGACACGCGATACACTTCTTGACATAATAATGAGACAATCGCTTTGGTAAACTGTTCCGGGATTGAAAGAGATTGAAAGAAATTCGATGCTTAATATACTAATAAATCTATTTATTCGTTGATAAATTGTCATTATTAATAACTAGCCATGGTAGTAAGTACTCATGAGAGACAGTTACAAGATGGTATGTGGCTAATGTGTTCAATATTATATATGTACGTGTTATTGTAAACATTTCTTTTATTCAAAAGTTTCTATGACGATGTACACTCTCGTTCAAATGTTTCAGGACAGTTTTTGTTTATAATATTCAATATTTATGGTAGATAATAAAATTTTTCAATTGTATGTAATATATATATATATATATATATATATATATATATATATATATATATATATATGTAAAGATAAATACATTAATTAATTCTTATTTAATTATATAATTTTTAATAGTTTTGAAGCAAATATAGATTGTCTTAAGACTTGTTAATCCTTTTCAGGATTTTTTTTAAAGTTATATTTGTTAAATAAATATAGAACAAAACTTAAATTGAAATATTTAAGACCAAGTGAAATAGTACCAAATATTTGGCTTCTGGTAGAAATTAAAATGATTAAAAATTAAAATGACAAATTAAGAATTTTGTTTAATTGTTTTATTAGAAATGAAATAAAAATGTGTATGACAATAATGAAACAATGAAAAGTTAATAATCTTGGTGGTACAGAAATTATTTAATTCCTGCCAAATACACACAAATGTTATTAAATTGGTTCGCTTAATTTTAAAAACGAGATAAAAATGTAAGATATTAACAAGTCAATTAAAGGAACTAATTAATTTCTTATTAATTAGATATTAAAAAAGATTTTAATATTAAAATGGTACGAATTTATAAGATAATTGAGAACATTCGATATATGTATGCATATATGGGCTCATTATGTATATTATGTGTATATATATATATATAGAGAGAGAGAGAGAGAGAGAAAGCAAAAATGGTATTTGCTAGAGAAAAGGGTACGATAATATTTATATGGAAATTAAATGTTACGAAACTTTTGAAGTGATAATGTTCGATATTAAAATTATAATCTAAGTAGTTCAAGAGACGATTCATTTTCCCTTCGATATTTTTGTTTGATAATGTTTTTTCATTGATTTTACCATTATTGCAATTAGTACTTTCTTCTGGTTCATTTCTTTTAGTATGTAATATTTAATCTTAACGCGATTATAAAAAGAAGTTATAATGATTCAGAATCAGTGAATAAAGAAAATTCTAAAATAGTATTTCACAATTATACATATTCTTCAGAAGAACGTTCTAGAGCTTTAAGTATAAAGTAGTAACTTTATTAGTTACTATTAACTTTGAGTAGTAACTTAACTAGTAACTACTTTATATGATTAATATTAATTAAAATAGTTAGATAATTAAGTGATTTTTATGTTTTATATACTTTGTGAGAGATTGTTGCATTAAGAAGCACAAATCAATTTCAATATCTTTAAATACGTTCATTGTTAATTGAATTTTTATTATCATTTATATTATAATATTTTAATTAATTATTTTAAACATGGGTGGAATACATTTTGGATAGAGGTATGTATGTATATGAATAAATAGATGGTATTGTATCGGGGTTTATGACCAGAAAAATTTCTTGTTTCTTTCTTTCTACTTTAGAATTTCAATGAAATTATCGTGTTTCATTATAATAATGTTAATAAATAATTTTTCCGTAAATTTCAATTCTGTATTATAAAATTTTGCTCCATGTGTTTTATTTACGAATTGTTTGAACATTTCTTCACGATTTCACGATTTTTAATTTACATCTTAAACGACATTCGTATCACGTGTGCTTCATACAACTGCGTATTAACTGAGATATCATAATGCTGACTTAGTTACTTCTGAATAATCATTGCTACATTCCTGTTTGTATTGCAGATTTTTATTTTCAATTCAAACAATCAATCTTGCAAGGAAAATGGAAATTCGTGTCATTTTATTATATATTTTCAAAAATTGTAGTTCCAGTCTTAATAAATTTTTTTCTACAATATGACTTGCTATGGCTAAAATTCGAGAGTTTTAATTTCAATAACAGATAAAATTATAGTTATACATTTTAATGTTTGATGTTGCAAAGATAAAGGAAAGCATTTATGATTGCGTATATCAAATTTAATAACGTCCGCTGTATAGACAATAGTTGTACATACTATATATATATATGTATATAGTTCTCGTGATGTTTGTTTTATATTATAAATTCATTATTTTTTTACCTAAAATAGAGATTAATTAAACAGTATATATAACATAACGTAGCACAGAAAAAAGAATCGAGTAATGTATTTCACAATTAAGTTGCTACATATTATTTATCAGAGTCGATCGTTTCGTATTTATTTTTCATTTTTGAAATTAGTTTCTTTAATAAATTACTGTAATATGTTTCAGAACAAATCTTCCTCGGGAAATAATGCAAATACCTGATTTCCCAATGAAGCATAACGAAGGGCCGTCATTTGTTCATCACAGTGTAATTCGGGAGTATCTCTGGGATTACGCGAAACATTTTAATTTATATCCACATATAAAGGTAATGAAACTGATCAATTTTAAAATATAAAATCGTAATGCTTGAATATCATATATGAGTTGTTCAACTTCGTAAATAGCGAAATTGTCGAACTTTAATAATTTTCACATGTTTGACTCTTTATATTTATACATTTCAATAATTTTCATATGTTTGGTTGCTTTTATTAAATTTTTATTAAATTTATTACTAATTATTGTATTTTAGTTAAATACAGTAGTAAAACACGTGGAACCAGATACTTTGCCAAACGGCCAGATGATCTGGATGATCACGTACGAAGATTTGGAAAGCAAAATAGAAACAACGAAAACTTTCGACGCCGTAGTCGTGTGTAATGGTCATTACACTGTAGGCCATGTTCCACACATTCCAGGTATTGAAAGTTTCCCCGGTGGAATTATTCATAGTCATCAGTACAGAGTACCGGAAGTGTATGCTAGGAAAAAAGTTTGCATTCTCGGTGCTTCTTGGTCTGGCATGGATATCGCCATGGAGGTCTCGGAATATGCCGAAAAGGTATTTAGAAAATGTTATTCAATGTTACATACGTTTATCATTTTATAAATTCATAAACTTTACCTTTAACTTTAGCTTCTATATATAAGAAATTTCTTTATATATTTCTATTATAATATATTATGATGTAATATTCTAATAATTTTTGTTTATATATTTGCATATTTACACATTTTTTGGAAATTTATATATATATATCTCTATATATATTTTTAACAAAATATACATTATATCACACAACGGTTGTGTAATCTTTGATTATAATTATCACAAAATGTATTCAATTAAATTATCAGCTTGTGATTTTGTACTTTTATGAAGTATTAATTAAAAAAATAGCAGAGATAAAAAAATTATTTTATCTATTGAATATTATAAGGAATATTTTATACATTTTTGCATGTTCTGCACGTTCTATGCAATTTTGCACTTTAAAATTATTAAAAATTATTAACATTTTTTGTAATTTCTATATTATTAAAAGAGTTAGTTTTATTTCCTTGAATGCAGGTATACTTGAGCCATAATCTACCGGAATCAGTTGATTTGAAAATGTTGAAAAACGTAGAACAGAGACCTGGAATCCAATCGATTCAAGGAAATATATTCATCTTCCGCGATGGTTCCACTGCTGAAGTAGACAACTTCATATATTGCACCGGTAAAAAGACTTGATCTACCTCGTACATATAAGTGATCGAGGTATCCCAAATTAATTATACACAAGTAAATGAAAATTGTCAGGGCCCTGTCGAATTATCTTCAGGCCTGAATTTAAATAATGAAAATGCTATATTCTCTTCTATAGATAAAATGTTCTATCTATGTATTTAAAGTTTCTCGTGTTTCCAAGTATTTTAAATATTTGAAACAATTAAATGTTAATCTATAATATTAATTTCATAATGATAATATTTTTAAAAATTTAATAATACAAATAAAAAAATAATATAACAGATAGAATATTTCAACTAAGGATAGTATAATGCTTCAGTTTAAATATCATACTTTGTTTTCATTATAAATCATTTGATTTATTAATTTATTCTAATATATAATAATCTTATTCCCTTCGTGGTTTTTTTTTAAATAATTCAACTTAAATAATTAAATTATTAATTATTTTATAAAATTTGATATAATTAATTATTCCAAATCCTTATAGATTATTTATTCCCTCGGTAGGACCCTGGCCTCCTCAATTCGATCATCAATTAATACACTGATTTCGATAAAATCTTATGATTTCAGGCTATAAATTTACGTATCCCTTTATGTCAACTAAAGTTGAGATGCGTACGGACGACAACCACGTCGAGCCGACTTACAAACACCTAATACACATGGATTACCCGAATTTATTCATAATGGGACTGCCTGGGATAGTAATCCCGTTTCCTCTGTTTCATCTGCAAGCTCAGTATATTTTAGGCATTCTCGAAGATCGAATTAAGCTACCATCCACTGAGCAAATGCGTGAAGAGTATGAAGTGGAAAAGAAAGCTCTTCTCGATCTTGGAATTCCGGTACACATTTCATTAATCTTATTAATGTTATTATATGCTTTTCAGTAATAAGGATAGAAAATCATAGCAGCACATATCTGTTGTGTTATGTAATTTATTCTTTATTTATTCTTACATTTCGAATTATAGTGTGTTGAGGACATTATTTCAAATGATACGATATGTATTTCATTTAAAGAAGATTTTCATTTTGAATCATTAATGATTTCTTATTTTCAATTTATCTTGTGATTTTCATTATTTAAAAATCTCATGAGCTAAGTATAGATCACTTTCTAATTAAAAACAATTTGTGTAAATATTTGTTCAAATGTTTTATTATTAAAATTTGCCCGCGATTGGGAAAGTAGGTTTTCTTTTTGGCATTATTTGGGTACCTAGGCAGTACCGTTAGTAATTGTGAAAATTACTTTAGAAAATTAATCTTAGTCAATGGTGCAGTTAAATCTTTTAAAGTAGGTTTAAGATAGGTACTTTTAAAACCTATTGAAAATAGGTTTAATTGCACTATTTCTATGTGATTGGGAAAGTAGTTTAGGTTACAATTAGTGCCGTTAGGCCACTCGTTTCAATAACATTCACAATTACTTGCCTAAGCCTAACAATACTGCCCAGGTAGTTTGTCTAATGTCCTTTACATTAAGTTTACAACGTTACCTAGGTAGTATCCCCTACAATTGATTTCGATTGACAATGAAAGTATATTTGTACGACCCAAGTCAATGAAAAATGACTTGATTGATTTCTGTGTCTTTTATTTATATGTCTTAAAAAAGATTATTCTGAAAGATACTAAATATTAATGATTAATTACTATATTATATATAGTATTTATACTATTATAACAGCAATATATTAAAATTTAGTGATGTTAATTTCAGAAATTACAGTTAATTCTTAATTAGTTGGATTGTAGTAGAAAAATAAAATAAGTTATACCAGATTATATTAGAATTTAGGATAGTTGATATTATTTTATATTTTATTCAGTATCCCTTCTAAACAAACTTGTCTTTTATTTATTAATTTTGCTTTACGATCATTCCGATAGAAAATTGTTTTCTTAATCATTGCGTATTTTAAAATAAATTCTTCTTTAATTTAATTTTTTCTTATTCTTAATCAAACACATTTAAATAACTATTGAAAATTCTTAACTGAAAATTTAAAAAAGTATATTATTTCTTTTAATAATTTACACTATATTTTATAAATGTTTAAAATTCAACACAAAAGCATCAAACTAACTTTTACACCTAATACATTGCCTAATACATCTTATAATAGAGATTAGCAATAAAATTAAATAAATGAAAGACTCCAATTAAATAATTTAAATATAAAACTGCAATGGTCTTCAAATTAGTAAATAATTTCGAAATAAATTATAAGATAAATTTTGTTTCCTTTTATACTTTTATAAAATACTCGACTACTCTACTTTTACTCTAATATCCGAAGGACGATTAAGAAATAAAAAAAAATCTAATATTTTTACAGTTAAGACATATCGCCAAACTAAAGGAACGACAATGGGCGTACTACGACGAAATAGCCGCAGCTGCGAACGTTCCGAGTTTTCCTCCAGTAATCCGAAAAATCTACGATCATGTGGACCAAATGCGTGAATTGGACTTAACCATCTACAAGAATTACCAATATCGCATAATCGACGATGAAAATTTCGCACTATGTTACTGTAAACCTTGTTAGGGCCTAAACGCGAGAATCAAACACAGATATTTCAATCAATAAATCTTTTGGACTGAAATCGTTCAAAGTTCGCAGTTGCTTCAGTGACATTGCTTGCATTTTACGTTTCTATTAAACGCAAGGTTACTGGAGCATTTCTATTTACCGAAACTAAAATGCTAACATGCTGTTTAGATAAAATAATTCGAACGATGCTAAGAACTTTGAGCGCGCGCATTCTTCCAGTGTACTTTCGCATACTCCTTCACGAAGTAAAGCGTGTATCAAATAAACATGTACATTGTTGTGAAATCGAATGCAGCAGGGCAGAGCTTATAAGCGATTATTTGTTCTATAATGCGTTTTATACAGGTATCATTTTCAAGATACGTTTTAACGCGATTTGAGCGAAACAGCGAAGATTCCACGAGCACGTGCACAAGAAACGCGTCAATTGCATTGTACTGTTACTTGTATCGATTAACAATCGAAGAACTTTGCGACAATTGTTAAAAATTCTCATTTGGAAGATAATATTCTTGCAAATAGAAATAAATATCAGCCTAACAGGCTAAATTACTGTTGCGAGTTAAATAAAATTATTCTTCTTAAAAATTCGTTTTATTTAATTATTATTGAGTCCGTATTATTATTATTTAAAATTATTTTCCTTAAAAATTTGGTTTTATTCAATTATTATTCAGTCTGTGTGATTTGTTTTGACTTTAATTGTTTGTGTAGGAAGGCGTTGACATTGATAAGGGGGACGTACTCCTTCAGGTCTGCTATTTTGGGTCTTCTACCAGAGCCAATAGACGCATAATGTTAATACTAGTAAAAAGGTAGGTACTGCCCAGGTATGTGTTGGGCCCAATGGTGCATCTAAACCAAAAATGACCTACCCTTCCAGTACGTTCGGAAGAGGTACAGAGAGGATACAAGAGGATCATATATAAGGACATGGCATAGAATTTGGACAGTTTTTCTGGTTTTGAGTTTGCTTCCGCACGATTCGCAATCTACATACATCTTCGGACGATTTGCAGTCTACATACATCTTCATACATCATGTGAGTATCTCTAAAATTTGAAAGTAACATCTTATAATTTTGAAAATGAAATTTAAAATTGATTTAATGTTGAATAATTGTGAATTTGATCATTACTGATTCTGTAGAGAAAGCAAATGAATTAGTTGCAATAGCATACAATAATTAATATTATAATAAGTGAATATAAAATTAATTTAGTAAGCAATTTAGTAAATTGATTTAGAAATAATAGATGAAGTAAAAAGAATATACGAAGCAAATTTTATGAAAAGTAATATTTCTTGAATGATTGTAATATTTCTGTCGTTAATCAATGGTAATATGTATGAATATGTAATATAACAGCAAATTTTATTCATTTTCAATTAATCAAAGTAATTATTAATTAATATAATAACTAAATTGAAGTTAAAAAGGATAGTTAATTATAATTTCTCTTTCCTAAGTAAAGTTTCCATTATATTGAATTCAAATTTCCCGCCAAGTAGTGACGCGTTTCTACAGGAAATTATGTCTCTCTTTATTCGTATACATGATGTTTGATGTGATAGATGTCTCACCAAGCGTCTAGCGACGCTTCTTTACACTATCTATGCTCTCTTTGTTCATTCGTGTTTCAACGCTTGGTGTTGTTGTTTGAATAAGTTGACTAACCTAAGTGTTGCATAGAAAATATTTTATATTTTTGCAAACAAATACAAAGATTTCATTAAAAACAATGGCAGAGTACGCTAAAATGAATGACACTATTTTTTCAGAAGAGATAGAAACAGGCAAGATTCAAGAAGAAATAGCAGAGAGATTTCGAAAAGACAAAAAATCGAGATTGAACGTGGAAATTCTTGAGGACACGGCGACGGCTGAACCAGTTTATCAAATACGTCCCCAGTTACACGAGAAGTATTTATTAATTATATCTGTATTTTCTAATATTAAGTTATATTCTTTTAATTTAAAAATTTTTAAGAATTTCTTAAGGATATGATGTTCATTTGCTATGCATGATATTTCATTAAATTGGTATGTTACTAGTCAGAAGAATTTTTATTTTTAAGCATTTCAAAGTATATTTATGCATATGATTTATAGTAGATGTACGTAGAAATTATATATAGCAATCTAATATATTATAAATAATATACGAGACACATTTTACATAGAACGTAGGTTATTATTGTTGTTGAAAATAGTTAACTGAATAATATATGCATACTGTTCATTAAGTGGTAGTTTAACAAATACTTTCGATACAGGTTTAAACCTTTGAGTGCTAAAGAAGTTATACATAATGTGCTATTTGATCAGCTTTCTATGAAAACGTATGATGCTCAGAAAGCTGTTCAGTGGACTAAAGATATAGCAGATCTAATTAGAGAGAAAGTTAAAGGTGAATTCATTCTTCTAAAATAAATGAAGTGTTTATTTAATAAGAATTCACTTCAATTATATGATCTTGAATTCTAAATAATTTCTCACGTACTTTTAGAGTTAAAGTTCAAACGATACAAATATATTGTGAATGTAGTTTTGGGTGAACAGCATGGTGCTGGGGTAAAAATGGGTACAAGATGTATATGGGATGCAGAAGCAGATGCATATGCATATGACAGTTTCTTAAATGTAAGAATTGCACAATTAATTTATTTAAATGCCATATTTAAATAGAAGCTATATTCTCAGAAATAGAATCTCAGAAATTCAAAATATCATATTGCACTAATTTTGAAATAAATATTTCCAAAGATATATTATTTACTATTTAATAATTAGGTTTATAGATTTCAATAATTAAAAAATTGATTATTTCTAAAAGAAATTTTAAACATTTAATAAGCAAACAGTAGATACAAAGATATTAACATTTTTTCAGGATACAATATTCTGCGTGGCTACTGTGTATGCTGTATATTTTTATTAGTAAATGGTTACATATCATTGATTACGGTATATTAAAGGTATACTTAAAGTTCATTGTGATACGAATAAAAGAATAATAAACATGATCAATCAATCAATAAAGAAATCAACATTTTATTAAGTAAAAGCTATTATTTCTTATTGACACACATTATATCGTCATGGCACAGTTTTTACATACATTTAAAAATATCTATGATCATGTATTTTATAATGCACATGCTCAAATTTTTAATGAGAGTGCATTACATTTACATGTCTTTGTTTACTAAAATTATTATAGCACCATAATTCACGGTATTATCCTATAATTACAAAAATTTTTTAAACGTGATGAAAGGCACTTGATTTTATACTTATGACTTTCGCTTATATTTATTTTATTTATGTTAAGATTATTTTAAACTACGAAAAATTTAGTGTATTTTAATTCATATTTGTTGGATTGCAAAATTTTGTAATTGCATAAGTAAATATGCAACTATTCATATAATAGTTAAAAATTAAAAACCAACAGTTTTGTATATAAAATATTGGTTTAATAATAGAACGATATAAAAGAACATTTATTAGACAAATTTATTATGTTTGAAAAATTTTTTATGTTTGACTTAATTTTCGATTCTTTGAAAGAATCGTTATTCAAACTATTTTGAAATTTGTAAAATTCAAATAAAAGTTCAAAATTCGTAGTTTATAATAATATATTTTTGTATAAATATAAAATAGTATATATATATAACTTTTAAATAGTATAAAAGAGTATTTTTTAAAAATAGTAAAAGAAAAAGGAGAAATAAATAAGTAGTATTTTACTCCTATGAATGATGTGAAACTAATTGAAATTCAATCCAATACATATACACAATAGAATGGATTTAAAGTCCTTTGTATAAGCGAAGTAATAACACATATAATATTAAGATAATTTAACGTTAGTAAAAAGTCAAACTTAGAACAATTCTCGGTAATTATCATAAAAATTATTTAACATGAAAATAGCAACGATTATATCGAATTTATTGAGTTAAACTGAAGGTAGAGAGAGATTTAGATTCTTCACAATTCATGAGTATAATTACACCTAACTAAGCTTATAATTACGATAAAACGATATTTGATTTCTCGTAATTACTTACTCTTTCGAATTGAAATTATACCAAGTTTTAATTGTATATTTATTTGTTGTTTTATATATATATACATAATTAACAAGTTGACAAACAGGAAACCAGAAAAATATTTGCTTGTGTCATTAATTATTTCGTAGCCTTTTAAAATTGTTTAATACGTGTTTCTTACGTTAAAGTTTATCATCTACGTTTTATTCTACACAACTGACGGAAGACTGATCGTTCAAAGTATTAAATTGCTTAATCGATCAACACGTTTTAATATCAATATCAATATAAGTTACATAATTACACACGGCAAGGCACAGCAAAGTGGTAGACATACAGGGACAACTGCTTTACCGCTGCTTGATTTTGATTTACTTTTGCCAGACGCCTCGTACTCATATTTCGCTTTAGCCTTCTGCCATCCTCCCTGTAAAAATATGCATGATAATTATATTATATGTATGATTCCAAGGATGTTCTAACGTTATATATATATATTTTTTTTCCAATTAATTTGGCTAATGAGTAGAAATAAATATTAGATTGTAGAGTAATGTGTAGTAATGTGTAGAAATAATTAGATTAGTAATGTGTTTCTCTAAACTATGCAACTTTTGTATATAATAATTTTTTACCGGACGTATAATTTTATTTAAGGTGCGTAAGTTAGGTGAAATATCGTTTATATGCATAATGAATATTTTAACTTTTTGAGTTCCGGAAAAATTTATTTTAGAAATATTCTTTATTATTGGGAATGTTCTAAAATGTTATAGTAGCTCTTGGATCTCATCGAAAAGATCTGAGTCTAGATTACTCTTATCAATCTCATTGTAAGATTGGTAAATTTCAAATAAATAAAGTTTCGAATGGTGTTGTAGATATGGTGACGTAAATTTCAATTTAGAAAAAGAGAGAAATACGACGGTGAAATATAAATTTACGTTCCGGACAAAATTAATTTATTTTCTCTTTTGTTTTTATCTAGTTATAAAATTTTTTATCTATTTTATTTATTTATAAAATGATTATGTGTGATTACAGCATGATTATAGCATGATTATAGCATGATTATAGCATGATTATAGCATATCTTTTGTTTTTTATTTTTTCTTTTTTTCTGTGTATACCGATTATATAAAAGTTTATATTCATTAGATCGGAAGAATGGAACCAATTAATTCGCAGATGACGATTAGCGTAGACAAACCCTATCACATTGTCCTGGATAATTTGTACTATTTTACGAACGAGGAAGATCTAAAGACTATCTTCCGTAAATATGGGGTAAAGCAAGTTGCGATACAGCGAAAAAAATCAAAGAAAAAAGCTCGAGTGTACTTAAAATTTATCAGTGTGGATTGCGCTGATATAGTGCATGACTTAATGTTAACTAACAGCATTCACCTCCACGCCAAACAATTGCAGTTAAAATATAACGATTACTACAATAAAGTGGAAATAACGCCGCCCGTTCTACAGGACATTGAAAAAAACAGTATACTTAATATATTACCCATAGAGATCATTTCAAAAATAATTGAGTATTTGCCACATGTAGATCAAGCAAGATTAGAGCGGGTATCAAAATTATGGCGGTTGGCCAGTTTGAGCACTCACTGTAAAATGAAACACTTTGAAATAGACAACAGATGGCCAAGTGGTTGGTGTGGCGAGGAATTCACACGAAAATGCTTTTATTGGTTGATGAACCGATCAAAGAATTACGTGCGTTCCTTAAAGTTAACTGAGCGCACAGTATTATCCGATCTCTGGGAGTTATTAGGAGTAGCCGTAAGGACCTGTCCGAATTTAGAAAAAGTAGATTTGAAAGAAATCCTGTTAACTCCAACGATGGTAAAAGAACTGTATCTTATAGCTTCGAGATTGACCGTTTTATCTTTAGGAACCTCTACATTCTCAATAGACTCAGAATTAATAGAAGTATTCAAAAAAGCTAAGAAACTCGTGAAACTCAGAATAGTGGAGACAGTCATAACAGGAGAGTCACTTACATTCTTAAATGTAAATTTGAAAACTTTAATTATTGACAATTGTGAGTATATGGAATCATCATACATGTGTGAAGCTATAAAAAGATTACAAAGTCTTGAACACCTGGAAATCATTTCATGTGAAAAAATGAATGACACTGTTTTACGGACTATAGTATATAACACTTCTATATCGAAGACAATGAAAACATTAAAACTTTCCTACCTACCAAATCCGAAACGGATCGATGTGAAATTTCTACCACGATTGGAACATAATGAATCCTATATAAGTTATGATAAGATCGGCCCTGCTTCACTGGGCATTTTGCTCGTAAAGCGATATACAAATATCACGCAGTTGGCCTTAAAATTTTGTACTTGGGTAACAAAAGAGGTTGTGAGTGAAATAGCTGAGAATTTGCTACAACTTGAATACTTGGATCTAAGTGGATGTAGCAATATCATTGGAACTTTCGCATTGGATCCACTTGTGAAATTAAAAAATATAACTGTAATAAAGTTGAACCATCTCCATTTCACAGTAGGTGGTAGTGTACTAAAAGAATTCAAGAAACTAAAAGAAGTTTCTTGTAGAAATAGTTTAGGATTTGATAACAGAGCCATTTGCGAAGCAATAATGAATTGCCCGTATTTATCAGTGATAATTATAGAGGATTGTGTGGAAATAGGAATATCTGTAATTCAATGTGCACTTTCCACTGTTCGTAACAATAAGAGAACATCACCGTTGGTCATCTACGTAGCCGACAGTGGAATTTGCGAATCTACATTTATGTCGAATGACAGTCTAAAAATTTACTATAACCGGCTAATCTATAGCACTTATTTAGCGACAGTTCCTTATAATATTGTCATGGCGCGACAGCGATAATTGCTGCCCGCATTGCTGAGGTTCTCTTCGGCCTATTGCTTCCATAGAAGAAATATTGTCATAAACAGGTGACTGGATGATTTTAAATACTTATATTTGATTAATTATATACAAATGTTGCGTATATGATACGAGTCTGGAAAGACTGATTGCCTGTTGTTAAGAGATTGACTGATTGATGCTGCGAAACTGAATAGTCGCATAACATTCATTGAGTCTCGTAGAATCATTCAGTCAGTTAGCAACAGTACACATCTCCCAGATTCGCATCATGCACAAGCCACATTTGTATATAGTATTTTGAAGTACACAAGGATTCATTTGTTAAAATCTCATGCAAGAAACTCTCAAATGGACGCAAGGCTTTACTTTTCAGTGGACATTTAGCTTAAAAGGAAAGACGAGAGAATCTCAACAAAGCAAGTAGCAATCACATCACCTTTGTGCTGAGACGTAACAAATAATATTAATAATATTGCGATGTTTAATAATGTAATATCGCAATGTTTTTAGTATTATATTAATGTTAATAATAATATTAATAATAACTTTACAAAGTCTTTTCAGTTCTAAACAAAAGCTTGAAATTTAAAATCGAAAAATGAATGGTCGTACAAAGCGTTTGTCAATCGAATCTTTGTTTGTCAAATCTATTTTACCCGAAGACTCGATAAGATGAAACTTCCGGAATTCGTAGATTTCTTTGCTTCTCTTTGAGATTTCGAATTGTCAAAGTTCGTAGTAGGAAGTAATATTTTTAGAAATAATTGGATTTTCACTTAATTATAATTAGATATATTGAAAATACGTCCAATTTGATTTACAATTAATTTGTCGTAGCATAAGGTTTTTTGAATTGGAAATATTATTTTTAGAAATGATTGGGTTCGAAGATATTTTAAATTGGAATAGTAAAAATAATTACATTTGTAATGATTTTATTATATTTCTTTTAAATTAGAGTAGAGCAAGAAGTATTATTTTTGGAAGGAAGTAGAATGTTACTTATAAGATGCATAGTGTAACTACTTACACCAGATTGCGACATAGCTGCGCTAGCTTCTTCCTTTTTAGTGAATTCTGCTGCTCCCGGTGGATAATAAACCGGAGGTCCAGCAACATTTTTACTCTTCACTTTGGGCGGCGTGTGAGGCACAAAGTCAACTTCCTTTTTCACTACTGGGGACTCTTTCTGTTGTTCTTTTTCTCTTTTTTCAATGTCCTCTAGTACTTCACGCTGAAAACATAAAGATTGGTATTTAGTAACTACTAGACTGCAGACTTTTGTACAACTTTTTTATAACTCAAAGATGCAGGAATTTATAGAATGCTCATAATGTATGAGCTGTATAATAGTTTCTTTCGAGTACAAATCGAAATTATAAACTTTTTCATTATCAGATGTGAAAATAGCTTGTACAATTAAAAAAGCAGTTCTATCACACTACTATGACTGCAAAATGTTTGGCTAAAATGATTTTGTTTTTAATAAAAGGGATTGTTAAGATTTTTAAGGGGTAAAGTTGATTCATCACGGAAATAAGACGTACAAAGTTTTTTAAGTCTATCGAGCCAAACTCATGTCAATCGGTTCGAATTCGAACTAATTAAAGAATCAAAGAATTTCTAAACTAATTTAGCGATTTGCTTAGCACATCTGACGTGTGGTTTTGACGGTTCTACGCACTTCGACTTTCTTTACTTCCAAAATCAAATTCGACGACTACCAAGGCTGATTATCTAACAAGACTGAACTTAAAAAAATATATATATATATATATTTTCTCCTTACCTCTGTGTCAGAAAACGACGCCATGAGATCCTCTAATTTTTTAGGCGGACTTTGTACGTTGTTTGCCGGTTTGGTCGGATAAAGTTGAACACCTTCGATCGGGAACGGCTTGGGTAACAAAACCTCGTGATCCTCGGGGTGTTTGCTCGGCGGTACCGTCGTGGTGGTGTTCGAAAATTTGTATATAGTCGTGGAGGATTGCGGGTTGGTGGACTGTGATGTTGTATAATAATTAACAGGTGTTCCTGGTTTGTCAGGTGTCGGGTGTCGTCCACTGGACGGTAGCCGACTAGGATAATGTTCCTCGATCCGATTGATCGTCGTGTGACTCTCGTTTATGGTCGGTGGTTGATTCTGATAAATCACCGTGGTTCCAGGATGATCTGGTCGATCACCGGGTGGATACCCGTTTGGATAACTTCCGTCCACTTGGTAGTATTTTTCATTTCGCGTGATCGTCGTTTTATTTTCCAACGGCGGTGAACTAGGATGGTAGACTGTCGTTGTTGGTTGGCCTGGTGAACCACCGTGGTGTTCCTCGCGGTAGAACTTGGACTCTTGATGGATCGTAGTAGACTTCTTTGTCAGGTCTGTTATAGGAGGCGGTGGACTGCTGTATCTGGTCGGTGTTCTAGGTGGAACATTCTCGGTCACGGTTTGATAGGTGATCGTTTTGTCCGTGGTGCTAGTTCCTTTTGGTATCGTGTAGGTAATTGTTTGATCTCCTGGCAGCATAACGCTACCTGCTGTTGGCACGTTGCCACCCTGTAGATAGGTTTCGGGTGGTCCTGGTAGCTCGTAAGTGTAGGTTTTGATAGTGGTGGTTACTTTTGTGTTTGGACCTGGTGCCAGGTTGATCGGTATCGCTGGTGTTGGCGATGGGACTGGTACATACTCGACGCTTCCGTATTCTTGCGCAGCACTCGTGTGCATCGTTGTTATTGTATTTTGTACTGGTTCCGTTTGGTAGCCTACGACATTGTTTGATCATTGAAATAAATCTCGACGACAACGACAGCAGTTTCAGTTTTCGAGAAATTTTATTGTAATATTTGTAATATTGTAATATATGTAATATTGTAATATATGTAATATTGTAATATATGTAATATTGTAATATATGTAATATTGTAATATATGTAATATTGTAATATATGTAATATTGTAATATATGTAATATTGTAATATATGTAATATTGTAATATTGTAATTATGTAATATTGTAAAATACAGTGCATTTTATAATTTTACTGTTGTAGTATTTTCACTGTGGCATCCAAATATTGGGAATTTCATTTAAATGTTTATAAATTACAATATATCACTTCAGATGGAATGGATAGATTAAAGAGTGTTATTTTTCATTTATTACCTTATCTTATTTCTACTATAGTATTGAAAGTACTGAGGATTCTTAAAATGTATAATCTCTGATTACATTTATTTTAAATGTTATTATTAATATTGGCATTGTTACCTGGCAATGACTTCCATAGCATTCAACGTGTTCATCCATGTCAGAGTAAAAAGATAATTTATATTGTAGATGAACAATGCTTTTTAATTTTTAAATGTTTAGTGTAACTTATTTTTATTCGTTTAATTATCTACTTAAATAAACAGCATTAATCATTCAAACTTCAAATTCATACACGCAACGCATTGCTAATTTTCTTCGATACTTGTAAATTTATAAAATTTTTAAATATACATTTTTAATATACTAACTGGAAGATTCGTGAATATACTTGACGTCCCTTTGAGTACCCGGTAAAGGCGAAGTTTGCTTCGAACGAGATGTAGAACTATCGCTATACACCTGAAATATGAATATCCTTTTATATTTTTTAATTCGTATCGAATTTATGACGTGTAAAATATCGTAAGAGACAAAGTACTCACTAGTTCTCTGTTGACTGATTTGCTAACCGGTTCTAAACCACGAGGTATTGTGCTTTCTTCGTAGGTCTTTTCTCGGATATCATCGCTGTAAAATATACGCGCATATTCTGTTACACGGTCTATTATAATTGAAAATAAATGATTTTATTGCGATAACACCATATAGTTAGGTATTTAATTTCAAGGCTGTAGACAATAACGAAATATAAATCTATCTGAATTTATTAGTTGCCAGTTTAGCAAGAAGTGTTCGTATAATTTTGTTGGCAAGAATACAAGTAATTTTGATATTTTCTTGCTTTGGAAAAGAATAGTACTTACATCATGGTGTTAGTCAATGTACTGTCTGTTGTCCACGAATCTGTAATATAAAGGAGATTTAAGTTGATATTTCCACGTTAGATTATTTAATATTATTTAATATTATAATCCAATAATAAAATATACAGTGATGGACAAAAGAAAGTTTAAAGAACAAATGGTACGAGAAAATAGCTTTGTGATATGAATTATGTAGTACCTTAAAAAGAATAATGAGTAAATATGGTATGTATATATTCTAGAACAGATGATTAATAAAAAATTCTAAAACAGTCACTAATAAAAAAAATACAAATAAAAGTTAATAAAAAAGTGTTATACAAATATTAATTTTATTGACTGCTATTGTTCATCTAATTCACAAGTTAGATTATATGTTAAATAGATAAGTATGTCTAATAATATTATTATGTTAAATAGATAAGTATGTCTAATAATTTTATAATTTGTTAACCGTCGTTATTCAATTTTCGCGTTCCAACAATTCACTGAATTGTATGATACTTTTCATAAATCAACTGTGGCCCTGTAATTACTTTACACGATTAAAACTTTACTTATTAATTACTTTACACCTTTAAAATTTCTTATATGATGTACGATTTTTTCTTGACGAAGTTACACGAGCTCAAAGTATCGACGATTTTTCATCGAATGTACGAATACTCTCTGCGTGTACTTTCGTTGAGAAGTTGAACGGCCATCACCCGGTAACCCAATGACAATGGACATTCTTGTGTCTCAATGTCGCCGATTTTTCGGTTCGAATACACTTTTTTTTTTTCTCTCTTTCCATTTCGGTTGTTTCTTTCCTCTCTGTCTGAAGAGCAACAGAGGGACGGAGAAATCGGGTCAACCTTCTGTTACACGCAACCCTAATATGGATACGGTTGTGTATCGTGTGTTACCGCAAAGAACACACACACTCTGGTCGCAACGTCACTTCCATATAGAGAGACAGCCAGCGCGGAAATCTTCTCCGTATAATGGCGTTATCGTGTTACTTGCGACCATGGTTTACCGGAACCTCAGAATTTCAGCAATTGCCACATCTGCTTACAACGCTGTTTTCCCTTGCGTAACGTGCATATATTAAAGGTGATGCTTCGTGAAAAATGGAACAACTTCGCAGTTGTAGTATGTACACGCGTAGTTTCAAAATTTGTGTGCAAACTTTGATTCACGATCATTCGTCACATTGTACAGTCAGCATATTGTCAGTAGTGGTATAATGGCATAATTGTAATAGCTAATTAAATTATTTTTCCAAATTTTATTTCCCAAATCCTTTGTTTTATTTCCAAAATTATAACTTTGCACAAATCTGATAAAATTACTTTTTCAATTCCTCCATTCGCTATTGGGAGTATATTTCTTTTGGCACTCGGCGAAACTTAGAATTTTCATATTTCACGATCCACATATCGTTAGCAATGTAACAATATAAACAGATACGATTCTTATAAAATTATTCCTTCAATTTTTCATTCACTGGTGCTTGTTCTGTTGTGCTACATTTATTTCGTTTAGCAAATCGTCCGAGGCACCGAATAAATCTAACGAAATTAAAATCTTCATGTCTTGCAACCTGCAAGGACACGCTATTAGCCGTAATAACGACTGGTAACAGATACAAATCCAATAAAATTATTTTTTTCAATCATCCATTCATTACGAGCTAATAGCTCGTTATGCTAAACTACTCATTTCCCTTGATAAATCGTTCGAGGCACTTAATCATGTTTACAAAGACACTTAATTTTCCCCGGTTGGAGTTCCGATATTTAACAGCAACGGGGTAATGGCCGTTCGATTAATGAAAAGGAGGCGCGAGGCGAGTTTCGCGAGTATCTCCTGGCAAGGAACGAACCTCCCTCGTTTTGTCGTTCTCATTGTTAATTAACCGTATACCTGCAAGGCCGTTCCGCGCCTTAAAAGGAGCGACACGAGTGACCAGCTCCCCTTCCTTCCACGATCGTTTAAAACGCGGCAGCGCTTGCGCGCGATTCCTCGCGAACACGCCCGAGGGTTCATAGCGGTATATCGGACGTTCCGTCACACAGAACTCCGCTTTTTTACCCAAATTTCATTTCCCTTCACGTTGTTTTTCCCTCTTTTCCGACTTCCATCCATTCCCACATTGCTAATGAAATTTCTCGCTTCAACGAGAGGGGAACCGCTTCTTCTTAATTCGATTTCTCGTGGATTTTTGATTGATAATTTATTCCTCGGTAATTAAATCGACACAATGAGGTAAAAATTAATATCTAACGAGGCGACGAGTAATTCAATTCTTTTTATATTAACGGTAGATTAAATTTTCGTTCAGTTGCGTATAAAATTCACATAAATTTATGTGTAGATGTTCAATTTCATATGTTTATATTATATATTTTATACGTCAAAGATGTATGAAATATATAATATAAATATATATAATATAATCAATGTTCTTCAGTAGTTTAGAAAATTTACCAGAGGTGCGATGTGATATATTTAATTAGGAGAAATTAGTAATTAAGAAGAAAATTGGTAATTCTTACAAAGATACAAAAAAAAAAAAAAGAAAACTGATAATTCTATATCTTTCAGTTGCTGACTAATAATCGTTAAAAAGAGATATACACTACATCCATCTCCTTATCCAAAAATTAACTTTTAATTTTGAAGTTAAGCAATAAATATAATTTTCGATTGAATTGTTATTTGATTTACAGTCGTAAATTCTTAAATAGTTTCATGGTTTTTTTGTTTTATATTCCATTTGTCAAAGAATTGATTAAATAATTTTGAAAGTCTGAGCTAGAAGTATTAATATAAACTTACCAATTGGTTTACCATCGAGATTTTTGTTATATTGATACGACACCTGTTTGTAAGCGATCGTTTTACTTTGACCAGGCTGCACCTGAAACAGAAATAAAGAAGCTTTTATTATAACATTATTGTAAAGAAACAGACACTCGTGAAACTTTTTTTATATTCTTTCTTACGATTCCATTATTAGGTCCTGATAGGTATAAGTAATTTTTATTGTGATGCATTTAAAGTTGTAAAATTAAATTACATGTTAGCTTAAGGGAAACTTAGTGTAATAATCGATGAATAACTGTAGTATGTTTATTGCAAAACACGTGGGTCGTCTTCAAGCGACTCTCCTTTTAAGCTGATAACTGTAACGAAAAATTCATACATAAAACGCGTTGGTGGATCGGTAACAGTGTTGAATCACTTGATAATGAGATAATGAATATTTCATCGAGACGAGGCTTCGAATCTTCTCAACGTGTTGAGTAATGATTACGAACACTCGAGAATCGCGTAAGAATGGATGAAACGATAATGGCAACAGTAATTTTTGATTGAAGTTTAATTTCTAACACAGAGCGTTCAGAGAAACATGTTTTCAATCAAATGTTTTATCTCTTTAATAAAATAAACTCGTCAAATCGATGAAAATGAGAATATTTTAAATACATTTCTTTCGACGATTTGCATTTTTGTATTTTTTACATTTAAAAATGTACGTGCCTGCGTTTCGTTACTCACATTCTGCAACGACGCGTCTAAAATTCTTGAACAGTTCGCATATTGTATTCCCACAGTCTTAAAATATTCTATTCTTTAATCCCTTTCGATCTTAGTGTCTCTATGCTATTTTACATAAAACCAACAATTTTTTTTTTCCGTGTAAATTTAGATCTGTTACCGTTCGAACATTCTTGCGAAAACAGTCGGTGTCCAATTAAAGGTAAACTGTTGAATGTAAATTCTACGCGGACGACTTGTCATGGATTTAGCGCTTTCATAGTTGAGATGCTGTTATTTCGTATGCAAATGAGAATAGGCGGTGTTCTTGCGTACCTTAAGGGTTCGACGGCTGGGAGTTTTCTATCCGCGCCGAGCGTAAGATGCGCGCGATAAATTGCACGTGTAACAAATCAACGTTTTCATTGAATGTTAAGATTACGGGCTGACCAGCCAGGAAATGCCGCAATTACCCTAGGAGCCGTGGTTCTGCGATCATGATCTTCTAATGTATGATGTATCTCGCGAGATGTCAGATTTATGATACCGCATTCCGGTGAGAAACCGACCGTCTTATTTCTCGGCCAGAGACGCTATCGATGCGATCGCACGAGGTATTGCGAGCTGAATGGAATTTAGAGGTTCGTTCTAGCCAGCATAATCGTATCGATGATCCATCATACTCGTGATTTCAGATTATCTTTCGAGGGTAAGGTTCTTTTCTTTAACTCATTTGCATGTACGTATGTATGTACGTGTATGTGTCTCGCGTATGATGGATGAAGTGTCTCTTGCTAAGTATCTTTTTTGCTAAATTCGCTGTGGTTTTGCTAAATTCCTTGTGCCTTTGGTTTTGATTTGAATCAATTGGACAATGAAAATTTAAACAGGGTAAGTGAAAACATTGAATAGGCTTTCGATTTGTTAGAATGTTTACCATATTTATATCTATCTATATAGATATATTATTGTATTATTATGTACTCGATGCATGTAAGATTATAATATATTAAAATTTATAATACATTTACAAATAATTTAAATATATTTAATTATTATTTATATTATATTTGCAAAATATTTTATAAAATATTATATATATAAAATTTAACAATATAAAAAACTTATAATACATTTACAAAATATTTTTTTTACAAAATTGTAAATTTAGTGGATGAATATTCTAGTAAATCATTGTATTATAATATAATGCGATATAGAGTGCTCATAAAGTCCGTGTACAATTTGAAATTGTTGTAACATTGTAAGTGTATGCGATAAAATGAATCTGTATCTAACTTTTTTTTTTATCTTTACAGAATGACCACTAGAAGAGGTTCTTTAGTTGGCTATAATGTACCACTGTTATCCAAAGAAGATTTAGAATCCAGTACAAGAAAGAAGCACCGCGCAGGAATTCCATATCCAATTAGATGAAAAAAATTTAAAGAAAGTGTTAATAAAGAAACTGCAGCATCCGTAGAAGAAACTGATTTCAGGCAAATCCAAGAAAATTATTAAGACATCACTAGAGCTGAGGCTTTCAAAGAAGACTGTGCATAAGATTTTGCGGGCAAGACTTCACACGGAGGCGTGAATATTAAATTAATATATAATTATATTTAATATATTTAATATTATATTATATATTTATATATTATATTATATTTAATATAACGTTGAAAGTAATATTAATTAGTAAGAAATATATTTGAAGTAAATAGCTAGATCAATCGAGTAATATTTAGATGTTAGATTTGAAATATAAGGATATATATATTTATATATTATGTTATATTTAATATAACGTTGAAAGTAATATTAATTAGTAAGAAATATATTTGAAGTAAATAGCCAGATCAATCGAGTAATATTTAGATGTTAGATTTGAAATATAAGGATATATATATATATTATATTTAAATTTTTATATTATATTTATATTTATATATTATATTATATTTAATATAACGTTGAATGTAATATTAATTAGTAAGAAATATATTTGAAGTAAATAGCTAGATCAATCGAGTAATATTTAGATGTTAGATTTGAAATGTAAGGTGATCTAATTCCGAGGAATTTCAAGTTCGGTACTCGAGTAGTATAAAATCGTATGCTTGGCCGATTTATTTTGGTTGAATGTCAAATCGAATTTTCTAGCGATCGTAAACGTCAAGACTACGGTACTTTCGAGTATAAAGACTGATCTCACTGCATGCTATGATCATTCTGATACATCGTGAGCCTGTATATTAAGTACGTATGTACGTAGGCATGGATCCGTGCAAACAGTATACCACCTCGAGGCAAATCTCGACCGATGCAATCTCTTTGACATATAATTGGAACTGTCAGGTTTCAAGAAAAGAACGCGAAAAAAAAAAGAGCAGAAACTGAAATTACAGTGATTGTATATCCGTCCAGACGTTTCCAACGCGATTTTCTGTGTCATGTTAGTTTTCTGAATGTTTCACTCGGATAAAAGCAAACGGAACGTGTGTACGCATTAGTAATTCTGACTTCATAACGTAATCTAGGTTCAATTTCATTTGAAACAGAGATAAACAGCAGCAATTTGAAATAACGACTTATCATGCAACTTTTTATTTCCATTCATTGAAATAAAATAACCAGATCAGACGTTCTGTTCATTGCAATTTCATTAAAGAAATAGAATCTACGCAGAAATTTCTTAGAGCTACTGGAAATTTCTGGAATTTTAAATTTCTCAGAAGTCGATCGACGTTCAGACTTGTTGAAACATGGAATACTTTCATTTCTGATAGAGAAAAATACACGCATATATAAAAAAAAAAAAATTAGTAAAGCCGAGGCACAAACATCAGTATGTGCAATACTTACATTTTGTAATTCTGAATCGATGAAGTCCAAGCCAGGTATACCACTCGATGCACCACTCGGCCCACTGCTCACGTACTTTTCAGTGGTGGTTGTCATCGTTCGAGTTGGCGAAATGCCTCTAAAGTTAAACCGATGAATTTTTCCATTGAGAGACGCGCGCACGCCAGTCACGTCTTTGAAGTCGAAAAATTTCACAGGTTTACTCACCTGCCTTCGGAGACCACCTTGGTTGGATTTGCAGCTACACGATACTCCACTTGAGGCGAGAGTGCCCTGCCACCGCGGCTCGGGGTGGCACTTCTTGAGACACTTGTTTGCAGGTCCTCAAGAAGAGCATCTAAAATCATGGAATGTGTGAATCCGTCAATTTTGTACTTTGGACAAGGCACGTTGCCTACGGGGCTATTTGGAACATGCGTGGAACATTTCTTTGTGAATATATTCTGAACATTTCGAAATTTAAGCGTTGCCAATGACATTTTCAGTTATATGTATTGAAAATTTAGGTAGAAGTTACAAGATATGGGTTAGGTGTATATAATTAAGCGTTTAAAATTAATCAAGATTCGTGAGACCGTTCTTTTTCTCTTTGAAATACTTGAAATTTTTGATACACTGACTGTATTTTCCATATACACATTATCATTATCAATAGCATACGTAATATTTGTAAATAAGAATTTTTTAATTTTGAAGTACCTTCACGAGCTACATTGCTATAAATACACAATTTTCACGCAATTTTAATAGTATCGAATGATGTCGAGTTTGTCTGAGTAAATAATGTATATCTTATCACAAGTAAAAAATATATTATCATACTTTGATATATTCTCGACAAATTTTATTGACGAATGAATAATTCGAGTTTCCAGCCGAGAATATTTTATAGTTTATCGTTTTAAACAAGAAAGTTATTTTTACCGTTGATATCATTGACCAGTAGCTGTGCGGTGATTGAGGAATCGATTTAAGATCATGCCACATTAAGATAAAAATAGTATAGAGTTCAAATTGATGAATCTGTTTTGTGATGCGAGCAAAATATTTAAGCTTTCTCGTACGAATTTAAACAAAAGTCATGAAATTATAGGAGACATTTGCAGATTCTTGGTAGAAAAACTGAAATGATTACGCTACTTTCAAAATTACTTCACATTAGAATAAAAAAGAAATATAGAATTGAAATTCGAGTCTATTTTATGATACAAATAATCTTCAACCTTTTTGTCATGAAACCACGAAAGACGTATGCATTGCCTTAGAAAAGAAATGATTCAATGATAGGATTACATTTTCAAAATTACTTGAAAAAAAAAAAAAAGAAAAAAAGAAAAGAACATAAAATTAAAATTCGATTAAAGAATCTACTTTGTCACGCAAATAGTTTCCAAACGTTTTAGTGAAAGTCACGAAATCATATGTCACAGAACCAGGGCCTGAGTAGAAAAAGTATGATCCAAGGATAGGATTACACCTCTGGTGACACATTTAAAGGTTTACCTAAGTTGTTTTCGAGGCTGTTGGCCGTGGTTGTCTGGCCAGATATAGGACCACCATGACTCACGATCTTTCTACTGGTGTGCGATGTCGTTCTCTCCCTCACCGCAGCTGACATTGCGCTCCTCTTCAACTTCCCTGCCTTGCGAGGTCTGGAGAACAATTTAAACAAAAAAAAAAAAAAAAAGAGAGAGAAATAAAATGCGTGAAATACGCTGACGAATCTAAAAAATTGCGAGTTGAAGCAAAAATCACGAGTTGTGCAAATATAAGAAGGCGATCGTAAATTGCTTGCTGTAACAAGTGCTAAAAGATTGTCACTTTGATGTACGTATGAATATGCATGATAGTAGAGTGACTTCAGATATTCGCAAATGTTCTTATACACACACATTTGCAACACAGTCTAATTTATTATTCACAGTCAGTCAGTTTTCGAATGCTTGGTTCTGAGCAGTTGTTTATTGTTTAACATTCCAATTTCAATTATTAACAATCCGTTATAGTATTCATTTATTAGCAATCTATTTTTATTATATACCCGATTTGACAGCCGTTTATCGTCTACCATTTCAACTCCAATAGAAATTCAATCTTTTAACACGACAAAATGACAATAGGTTCTTGCCGTTTCAATACAGCCGTGATAATTGTAACAGCTACAGAATGCTAAATATAATGCTCAAACGGAATGATAGAACGGAGTTTGTGAATGCATCAATGGATATACGGGATGAGTCACCGAATTTTAACCTTAAATTACTCGACCTCAATAGTCTTTTTTATTTCGTGCCCGATATACTATTTTGAAAATACAAGGTCAAACGTTACGTTTCCCCACTGAGAAAACCTACAGTGACCTTCGTGATCTTTCTGAAAAGGCAAAGATCACATGAGACACTTGATTATTGCATCGTATTATCTCATCTCTCTCCTTGATATTATACGACTTTTAATTGAAACGTTTCCTCGCGAAGAAAGAGTTTATGAGTAATAAGAGTTTATTAATATGGTCACTAGTGGGTCATGAGTGGTTTGATATAGTCACCTATGAGTAGAAAACTCTTCATACACTGTGACATCAGTATTAGATCATAAGAACGAAATACGTTAACATATATAAATATATATATTTATTTATTAATTATAAAATATATATATAATATATATATATTATGTTAATTATATATATGTACATATAATGCTGGCTATTCCATATTATGTTAATTATAATTAATAATTAAGTTAATAATAATTATATATATATTTATTTATTAATTATAATATATATATATAATATATATTATATATATATATATAATATATATATTATGTTAATTATGTATATGTATATATAATGCTGGCTATTCCATATTATGTTAATTATAATTAATAATTAAAGTTAATAATAATTATATATATATATGTTTATTTATTAATTATAAAATATATGTATAATATATATATATATATATATATATTGTTAATTTTATATATATAACTAATATAACATCCTGCTGGCTATTCTATATTAATAATTAAGTTAATAATAATTATATATATTTATTTATTTATTTATTAATTATAAAATATATATATATATATAATATATATATTATGTTAATTTTATATATATATAATTAACATAACATTCCATATTATGTTAATTATATTATGGCTATTCCATATTATGTTAATTATAATTAATAATCAAAGTTAATAATTAAGTTAATAGTAATTATATATATATTTATTATAAAATATATATTATGTTTTATATATATAATTAACATAACATCCTGCTGGCTATCCCATATTATGTTAATTATAATTATTAACTTTAATTTTAATAACAATTAATAATTAAAGTTAATAATTAAGTTAATAATTAACATAATATGGAATAGCCAGCAGGGGAACTACTCCTCCGCGTGAACGCAACAGTACTTCTATTTATAGAGGTCGAACATTTATAAATATGGCAGATTCGAGGAGATCGGGAACTGGATCCGGCGGAGGCGCGCCGCTAGAACCAGAAACTTTCGCGGTGAACACCTGAAAGCCGGTTCTAACGTTAAAACCGTGGTGAACCTGGAGCAGTGGCATTTCGAATTAAGTGGGCGGCGTGTAATGCCCGGCGTTCGCGATAGAAAGATCGCGAACGAAGATTTATTTCTGTTTCCCTGGTACGTTCTTACATCTCGGTCATACCTCTTGGTTCGCCTCGCACTTATGCGAGCGCGTATTTACGTGTACGACTGTCGAACACCGTTGTTTCGTAAAACTAGTTTTGTAACGTGGTATTAAGAGAGATATAATGATAGTGGTCGTGGGCTGATACGTTGGGATCTTACTTTTGATTAGACGAGGGACACGGTCGTTCTATGGATTGATTTATGGAAATCGTTCGCCGCGATGAAAGGGGAAGTCGGGATTTTAATAATGTCTATAAAGTTTCGTAAGGACTATTTCAGTGATTGTTTGCTGCTTTTTAATCACGTCTATTTTTTTCTTTTTTTTTTTTTTTTTGAAGTGTGGTACCATTATATTCGAGTTTTAGAACGAGTGATCTTCTTATGTTCAATGTCGCGCATGAACTAATATATTATGTATACGTATTTATATATTTGTATAATACGAAAATATATTGTTATACTTATCGAATTCATATCAGTTATACTGTTGTTATCAATTACAATATGAAGTATCGACAATTATTAATAGTAGAAATACATCTTATTTTCTTGTAAAGAAAAACGCAGAATCAACTTTATGAAGAATAATAATATGTTATATATATGTAACATATTATTATTTTATTTATTTTATTATTATTTAAGAATAATAATATGTTATATATATATAACATTATTATTTTATTTATATTATTATTGTTTTAGAATAATAATATGTTATATATATAACATATTATTTTATTTATTTTATTATTATTCTTCATAAAGTTGATTCTGTGTTTTTCTTTACAAGAAAATAAGATGTATTTCTACTATTAATAATTGTCGATTATCGATACTTCATATTGTAATTGATAACAACAGTACAATTTTCTTTAATATGTATAATGGAAGGAAGAGTATTTTGCTTGTTTGTAATTTTTCAAATCATTACGACTAGAAATGCCATTAATATTCTCACGATTGTACAATATTATATAGTAGAAATACTCAATTAGATATTCTAATGTTATCATTTTAATCATTTCCCAGAGTTTTTATTCACACAAGGACTTGCGTGATACTGTTATTATTGCCACGGGAGCCATTAATTATCCAATTATCTTTTAAATGCCGGTAAAGTTTGCCGTTTTTACTTATTCTTACCTAGATTCTTTAAACATGCTCCTAAAAATAAAATCGCGTAAACATCCGCAGTCTACTTCATGAGATAACACCGTAAATCCAAGTAAATCTGTTCCAACTATTTAAATCACGTCTGGGCCGCGATTGAATGTAGAAGAAAGTGTATGTATTTCCACGGGAAACGCCGAACGGTCGTTTTATTCCGGCGGAGACATCAATGCGAATGGGGCAAAGGGGCCAAGGAGGTCTTCCAAGAATCATCTGCGGAGGAGACACACTCGCGTGATCGCCGCTGAAACCTTGAAACGCAAACCCGGACGGTTTCTAGAATTTGTATTCCCCTAACGAGCCACTCGGAGATAAAACATTTTCTTTTTACTCGGGCCAGCCCGTGACCAAACTTCCAAATTTTTTATCATGTTTCCTAGTCGTTCACTTTCGCGCGATTTTCGTCAATTTTCGTCCACTTCTCTTGCATAGAAATAATATTTTGTTTCGTGAGTGGAATGAATTGTATGAAGTATTGTTTAATTTTGTGTTGGCATTCTTGAACGGAGGTGGAGGTGTGTGTGTGTGTATGTGTGTGTTTGCGAAATTCTAAATAAAATCTCTCGTGATTTTAAGAGATGTGTGTACCTGTTATTTTTATCACAGGTTGTGTTTTGAATGAAACGATTTGATTAGGAAGCGTGGTAATAATTTGAAACGCGTGTAATTACACAGCCGAGTATTACGGATCGCTGCATATTTTAATGATTTCGTCGAGTGCAGACTCGACTTTATAAATCCGAAGTGCAGACGAGATTGAATTGCGTCGCTACCGCAATTTTTTTGATCGTTATTTAAATCGTTCTTCATTCTTCAGATATTCCTGCAGTTCAAGTATCAGTGAATGTGAAGCAATGAAAGAAAGATAGACGATAGTTATTTAATATCATGAAAGAAGCACGCGATAGATTTACTTATACTTATTTTCTGATTTCGATGATTAAAAGAGAACGCGGTACTTTAATTCTTATCTTATGTTTTGTTGTAAAGTGGAAACTTTGGAATTATAAACTTCGATAGATCGTAATTAATCTTTTAACAATGGAATAGTTTCGAGTGAAAGGGAAAACTAGAATTCTTTAATTTTCAACCTTTTGTATATTTCCTCTTCGTTTGTTTATTTATATTAATGAAAAATTCATATTTAAATCCTCAGATTAATGCTTGCGCATGCAATAACATGTAATAATATATTATTTAACAGGTAAAACAAGCTCTGCTTAGATTTTACCCTTTTTTCATTATTTTCAGAAAAATCTGCATAAAAATCCAACAATCTACCAATAACTTATATTAAAGTGTAATTTATATTAAAGTGTAATGGAATGGAAAATCAGAAAATTCCTTAGTTTTTAACTTTTTCTACATTTCTGACGTGTATTGTCCTTGGTTAATGATCTATAATTCATTCATATCGGTATAGATCTATATTTAAAGTTTGAACTGAACTTTACTCCCGCCGCTCTAATAACTTGTATTAAAATTCATCGCGTTTAAATGCCTTATTCATGCTCCCCTTTATCTAAAAGTTTTGTTTGGATAATCGATAATAGGTGCATTGTCACCGATTCATTCGACCGTGTTTGAATAAATATCGCTCAGTTTTCGAAAATATTCGTGCCGTATTTATTATTTTCTCCTCTAAATTTAACCGTGATGTCGCTTTTAAACTGGCAGAAGTTAAAAATGCTTCGAGACGTCGCTAACTACATACATACATACATACACATGTATCAACACACGTGAGATGATCTCTTACATCGAATTGTTAACAGAGTGTCAGA